AATCGCTTTAATTAACTAACGTTTTATATTATAAGACTTAATAACTAGATTATAAACTTAGTTTAAGTATTACCCTTTATATTTCTCTTAGATAAATTCCTTAATATCGTATAATATCGTATCTCTAATATTTCTCTAGATCTACTTCTTAGTATTTATTAATAGAATAGAAGACTAGCGAGTTTTTTCTTTATTTATGTGGAAATTAATATAAGGCGCTAAGGCGATAAAATCGTTGTAGTTTTAAAGAAATATAACTATTAAGCTATAATTATTAAGATACTACGTATTAGACATCTTAATAATACTTATCTTTTTATAACTCGAATTATAATAATAATTATCGCTATACTCGCGGCGATATTCTTATATATTTTATATTTTAATTAGCTTAAGTTTTTTAATAACTAGCTACTTTTTAGTATTAAGCTTTAAAAGTTAATAGCGTTAGATTTAAGTTAAGTTTATAAAATAAGAGTCTTTATCTATAAGTAGAGAGTTATCAGATATAACGCTTCGACGATTATTGTTTTCGTCGATAGTATTATTAGAATTTCTATCGATATTAGAATTAATATTATAATCGCTTAATTACGTAGTAAGCGTATTCTAATAAGAGTTATTTATTAGATTAAAAACGTCGTCAATTAGTTATAATAAAATATTTCTACTTCGTAAGTTAATAGAATTAGCTTATAAATTACTTATTATAGCTATTTTAAATAATTTCGTATAAATAAAGTTATTAGAACTATAAGATAGTAAGATCTCTTTTAATAGAACTACGTAATAGCTATATAATTATAAGATCTAGATATATAGTTAATAGAATAGATAGATTAGTTATTAAATAAATTAATAATTAAAGAAAGAAGAAGGGGAAAGAGGACTTATAAGTATTTAAGACTTTATTAAGTATATTAGATACTCGTCTTAGCTATATAGCTTATAGCTTAATAAGCGATATAAGCGAGTTTATTAGTTCGCTCTAAGTATTTCCACTCTTATAATAACTATATATTCTTCTTATAGAGCTTATAATCGAATATAAATATCTTAATTTTACTAGAAATTAAATAAAAGTCTTTCAAATACTTTTAAACTCTATAAATCTATAGAAATATTTCGTTAGAAGTATTAGACGTTTCTTAAATAGATAATAATAAAATTATTTAAAAAAGGTAGAAAAGATAGACGATCTCGATAACCTTCTATCTTATTTTCTACTCTATCGAAATTAATACGAGATAATTATAAATAATAAGACTTAAAGATCGTTCGATAGTATTTTATATATTAAATCGTTAGAAGAAGGGATTTTAGAGATTTAATAAAGAAATAAGTAGTAATAGTAAGAGAGTATAAAAGACTAGAGGGGGATACGCTATTTATAAAATCTCTTTATATAAGAAAGAAACTTATATAGAACGATTTTATTATAGAAAAAATTAAATGAAGTCTATATAATAGATTACGATTATTTAATATAAATTATATAGTGGTTTTATAGTAATAGTGTAAATAATAATGCTAGAATTCTTAAATGTTATCTTTTAACGATTATCGGATAATACTTATTTAATAGCTTTCTCTTTATATTCTCTAAGGCTCTTTAATTATATAATATAGTTTTTAGCTTTATATTTTTAATAAAGTCTTTTAAATTAATATATATTAAATTATTAGCTCTTTATTTTAAAGTAATAGAAGTTATTATTATTTTATAATTATAAGCTCGATTAATTAAGCGCTAAGAGGCGTAATAATTATATATAGCGAGTTTAGCTTTAAGATATAAAGATTAAATATTTATAAGATTATTAATAGAATTCGATAAAGGCGTAAACGTAGAAAGTTAAATAATTATTGTCGAAGAAATAATAGTAGAAGCTAGCGTATGATTTTTCTTCTCTCTTTTATTTCTCTTCTTATAAATATTATTTTTTAGATTATTCTTTAGTTTACGCTATATAGCTATTATTATATTTATAGATAATTAATTAATAATAAGTTTATTAATTTAATTCTTTAGAATGGCTACGAATTAGCTAATTAGATTTTAAGAGATAATAAAATAATATTTATAAGGGTCTTTAGAGTAATTAATATAGTAAATCGATTTAAAGTAATTTTAATTATTATAGTTCTTCTTAAAATACTTTTAGCGAGTGTAAATATTATATCTAATAGTAAAAATAGAATTAATCTTATTCTCTATAGTCTATACGCTAAGTAGTCGTTTAATAAGATATAAGCTTATTAAAATATCGATAAGATTTATAGATTTATTATCTTAAGTTTTATTATTATAGATAATTATTAGAGAAATTATTTTAGTAGTAGTAGGCTTCTTCTCGATAATATTAGATTTATTATAAATATAACGATATATTAAATTAAGCTAGAGCTCTTTTCTATACTTTTAATTATATAATTTCTCGAGAACTATATTTAAAATTTATTTATACTCGCTAAAATAAATTTTTTAAATATTAAAATACTTTTATTTAATTATAGTAAGAAAGTTATATAATAAAGTTATAATAAGAGAGACTCGATAATATAATATATATTTAAGAGATATAGTATATTTACGATTTTTACTATTCTAATTAACTAATAATAGATATAATAATAGAGATTTACTATTTAACTAGCGTCTCTTAATCTTAATATTAAATATAATTTTTTCACTTTTCTAGAATAATTTTATATTAAATTTATATAGTATAATTTTCTTCTTCTCTTATTTATTAAGCGAGTTATTTTTCTAAATAGAAGAGTTAAAAAGCTTTAATTTCGCTCTTAATTTAACTAGTTTCTTATTTACTAATTTCTTATTCTTCTTCTATTACTAACTTTATAGAATCTTCTAATAATTTCTTTTCTCTCTATTCTTCTTATTATTAATTATTATCTATAAGTTTAATTAAGTAATAAGCGAAGTCGCTTATACGCTAAGAGAAGAAAAAGAAGAAAAAAGATTATAATATAATAAGTAAGAATTATATAAATTATTTAATCGTTTTAAAAGAATTAAACTCTCGTTAATAAGTATTTAATTAAAGATTAACTCTAAATTAATAGAATACTATTTATTAATTAGAAGATTTAGCGAAGATATATTATTTAAAGATTTAAAAAACTAATTTAATAGCGGCGAATTAAGCTTTATAAGATTTAAAAGAGACTTAATTATTAATTTAAAACGCTATTATTTAGAAAACTTCGATTTATTAAGTCTTAATAATAATATTATTAATTTATAAGATATTATTACGAGTTTTAGATTAAATACTTTAAAGATAAATATAGTAGAGATATTTATTATTACTTTCTTCTTTATAGCTATATTTTAAGAGAGTAAAAATTACTTATTATTAATAATTAGTAGAGTATTTATACGCCTCTTTCTTATAGTAGACTTTTTAAGATTATTAAGCTTCTTTTTAAATAGCTATTTAGATAATATAGCGATAATAATATAATTTATAAATGTAATAAAGAAAGAATCTTTTTATATATTTATACTATATTATTAGTTAGATAATTTTAATTCTAGTCTAATTAGAAAGATAAAATAACTACTACGATATCTATATAACGAAATACCTTTTACGCATATTTGGCGGTGGTTACGGCGAAAATTTGGTGGGGTGGCTGCCAAACGGGCGCTCCCGCAAATAGTTTTGCAAAGAGGAGTATGCGAGATTGGGATGCCAAGAGATCTTCTTTCTTCGGCTATTCATCAAAACTTTCTCGGCGATGGATGATCATTTCTCAACGCCTCCATGCTCTTCTTTTCTACAACCCTTTTCTGCTAATCAACTGCAGCTCCATCTGCCCAAACGTTGCGCCTTACCGCCCTCATGCGCTCTCCATGCCCTTCTCCACCACAACGAGTACAGCGTATCCTCCCACACCTCAAGCAAACTACCTAGATCACCAATGCCATCACCATCTCGAGCCCCTCTCCCTCCTGATATACCGTCCCCGACCTTGGGCCGCAGCCCTCCTGTGATCTTGTCAGCCAGCCCTCCTACTCTCTCGGCGTGCAGCTGCTTGGCTACGTTGTAGCTCTCCGGGGCGGTCGTGCGCGATCTTGGAGTGATAAGATGGCGGGTCATGGGTCGCTGGTGAGGATGCGTGGCGTGTATGTACGTGAGGAGGACATAATTCAAGGGAATGAGGATGCGCTGTGGGCAGGGAGGAGTGGGCTTTCGGTCAGTGGGTCATTCATGTGAAAGAGAAGAGTGGATACGGGGCTTGGCATTCGACGAGGATCCGGGAGGTAATTGTTGTGCGTGGATCTCGTTGGGTATATCATGAGTCCAGCGGATATGGGCGCAGAAGGGAATTGGAGACATAGGTAGGTGGACGAACAGGGCGTATACGGAGAAGGTAATTGGCGGACGAGCAGAAGAGTTAAAATATGATGCGAACGGGTATGCCTCAGGTGGCCCGGTTGAAAGACGCCTAAAAGTCTGGGGGAGCTACACACATGGATCATCAAATGAATTAGAAGAGAATAATCCAAATCTGCGCACTCTCATCACCCTGGCAGACTCGACTTCCCAACCTCTGGCCCTCTCCCACGAGCATCCTCGCTTTGCAGAACCGGCATCACCATACCACATCACACCGCCCCCATCTTACTCTCACTCCCTAAGGTTGACCACCAAAGATCGCTTATACCGCAGTAGCCACAAAGTATAAGTCTGCTGGGTTTCTCAGCCGTACCTTTCACACTCCCACACCAAACCAAACGCCCACAAGAAGGTCGCGAGCAGAAGCTTCATCTCGCCTTGACGAAACATCCTTCCCAACACAATCGCAGGGCCCGAGCGAACGGGGGTTGAAATCTGACGACGACGCAGCATCGGGAGGTAGCCAACGTGGACGGCGGAAGCTGGACGGTGAGTCGAAGAGCAGTGCGGAGGGGTCGGCGCCGTATTGGATGGCGGAGACATGGGCTTGAAAGATGATTGAATTGGTCAGCCTTACAGGTGAGTATTGCCCGGAGCAGCTCGTTCGTGAGGGGTTGGATTAGAACGAGCACATATGATAACAGAGGGCCACACGACCAGAATCCAGTGCCCAGTGCCAAAATGGCCAACGACGCGGGCCAAATCAACAGGAACAGACGGTGCGAGGCGCAGTTTTTCTTCGATGAAAACGCCGAGATGGCGCAACTCGTGCACAGCAGTCGAGATCATGTCCGTCTCACGTGCCAAAGCCGTGCGGATATCGTCCACAAGTATAGCCAACTCGCTGGGGCTTCGCAGTAGAGAGTTCATGATACCGGTGAGGGCTGTGGAGGAGGATTCGCCATCGGCGAGCAAAAGGCCGTTGATCTTCGCTTCCAACCTCCGTTATGCTCATGCCTCTGTCGCCGGTGTCATCGCCGTCGCGGAGCATCTGTGCTCCAGATCACCCTTGTTGCTGCGGATCACCACCTCCTGCCGCTGTGGAACGTCTCCGGTCGTTTGCGGACCCTTTCCCTCACGAGGTCGAAGTGGTCCTGGCGGTCTTTGTGTTACGCTCTTGAGCAGCACGAGTCGCAGAACGCGGTCCGTGTTGGGGAAGTTGGGGCGTCGGATTGAAGCGGATGAGGAAAGCGCTTGCGTGTCGTTGTCGGGCATCGAGGTCCGGGGATGGGCGCGCGGAGATCTGATGCGGTTGAAGGGCTCGCGGAAGATTTGTGAGCTCATGATATCGTGTCCGGTGGATGGGTACCAAGGGACGAGGTTGACCACGGTGGCGCTAGTATCCGACTGATGATTTTGCTCGCGGAAAGCCTGCTCACTACTTCGTTGATGTGTGTTTGCAAGACGGGTTCTTTGTCCCGGGGAGCTTTGTCTGAGAAGCCGTGGGCCATGAGGCGGTGGTGAGGAGAGTGTTCGGAATCGTTGGCCTTAAAAGATGCTGTGCACTCAGGTAGAGCCATTCGGATATAGAAATAGTACCATGCACTGGCATCGACGAACGAGAGCTCATTGGCCGCAATCCGAAGGCTCTCTCCCTACGTCTCGGGCAGCAGTTCCTTGATGCGGTGCACTAGGTAGCCATTCTGCGTCTCTTGAAGTAGAACATAATCGAGACCCCGGCCCATAATCGAGACCCTGGCAAAGCGAATGCATGATATATGCCCTTGTAAATTCTGAATGCACCGAGTACAAATCCGGTGTTACACTGGTCAGAACAGGAGGTAGGTGGCCTTTTCTTTAGCCGTGGCTGTAGAGATGTTCGATCGTCCATGTGAATTGATTGATATGCTGAAGTATACTAGATGTCAGGTAGACATGGCTGCGTGTTCTGTAGATATAATGCCTGGAGGGCAAGCAAGGAAGCGCCTTGTGTCAGTAGGGGAGATGCGGTATGAGAACGTTGGCGCATTGATGATGATCACGCGGTGTGCCAGAAGACGCATGGAAGCGATGAAATCTGCTTGAACATCCCATCGCCATGATACATACATATCGCACAAACAGCATCCCCATGCACGCCAGCTCCTCCACTTACTCCAGATCCTCAGGCATATCTCGCATCAACCCCGCAATCCGATTCGACCCAATTCATCCGTAGCCTTCAAGACACTCCTTCACACCCTTACGACCGTCAAGACCGTCCATCTCTCCGAACCCGTCTCCCACTCCAAACGACTCCCTGCACGCCTCGACCGCCATTGACGCGAGAGAGCAACCGAACGGAATCCAACAGCACGCCAAGAGCCCCACCCCCGCCCAGAAAGCACGCGTCCGCGGCGGAGAAAGCGCGAAGGTCGAGCCCGGGCATTTGCTCCCTTCTTCCGTAACACTCGCGACGCGATCTTCCGTCGCCGCTAGGCACCGAGCTTTCACCCCTGTGACTGTATCAATGCCGGGATCATCACCATCGTCATCATCATTGTTACTATGACTGCCGAGCAAGTAGTCGCAGAGAGCGCGGGTCGTATCGGCGAGCCGGGTCGTGTCGTCGAGATGGCAGCGGCACTGCGTCCCTTTTGCGCGGCCCATGCCGTAGCTGACGTAGGCGATGGCGAACACGCTGTACCCGAGGGGAAACCAGATCCAGATGCAGGTGGTGCTGAGGCGGAGTGTGGACCGTTTGTCCGACACGGTCGTCTGTGGGGCGGGCTGGGGTCTTGGTCACGCGCAGGCTTGTTGGTAGCGACAAGTTATGATGGTTTCTGATGGCGTGGCTTGTTATTGTGGCGTGCCATTTGCGTTTGTTGTCTCAGCTGTGGTCGCGGTTAGGGTCTTGGACTTAAGCTGCAGAGCGCGGTGAATACCATCGGTGAGGTGTAGTGTGTAAATATGCAATTTTAAGATCACCCCTTGATAGAAACGCATTCCTCAATCTTAGGGAGACAGCAAGGGCAACGCATGGAAAGCTTTGTCAACTTTGCATCAGGGTAAGGCTCAATAGGAGCTGGCATCCTGATCTAAAGTCTGGAGCGGCTTGATAGCAAGACGCAGACGATTTCTTGCACAATCAAGATAACACAGCGCCAGCAGAGGAAGGCCAGGAGACAAGTCAGCAGCACAGCGGACAAGGCCATCGCGAAAGAATGAAAGAAAGGATAGCAAGAAGGAGGGTTTCTTGCATCTCGTGCTCAAGACTGACCGATGGCGCGCACTCAGCCCCTCGCATTGCATGATACGACCGAGGCACGTACATGTCACAGTGGATGAGCATGGCTGTCAATACATGAAATGTGATCATGGCCAACAGCGTTGAGCAGATACGGTACTATGCTTTGGCCACACCGACTTTAGACATTCTATTCTCCTCGGTGTTGGAACGAGATGGGCGCTGATGTTGGCGGGAAGGAAAAAAGGAAGCGGAGCATTTAATCAGTACAAGTAGAGTGTTTCGCGAGGTACTGACTGATTGGACGGACGGCAAATCTTGCCTTCCGGCAAAAGATACCGGATGGATGTCTGCTTGGAAAAGAATCGCCTCGGAAAAGCCGGAGGATGCGAGGGGAAAAGGGATAGGACCAGCTCTCGTCAAAGGATTTATTTATTACGGCACACAGGAATAATATTAAAAACCCCAAATCACGGCGAAGTCGGGGGCTGATGTCAGATGCAGATGCAGATGCAAATGCAGATGGTCAGACCCAGGGAATCAGATACAGACCCGAAGGATGCAGCAAGGCAAGGCTGGAAGATACTGTATGTACCTTGTATCATCTCGCGAACCTTCTTCCTGCTCACCGGTACAGATGTTATTTCCAAGCAGTAAATGTTAATCATCATCATCTCTCCCCGGTCCCCATACATACGAGGTAACTCGTACACTTGATTTAATCTATAAAGTACAATCCGCGAATGAATGACTAACATGAATGGGCGCCAAGTCAGTCTTTGATTTGATGACGAGTGAGCCGGTTGAGCCGTGATTCCTTGGCATGATCGGCGTGGACGCGCTCAAGGCGGAGCTGTCAGCCGGAGGCAGAGGCAGAATCCAAACAAAAGCTGCTTTTCCTCCCGCCACCAACCGACATTAGTTTGTTGTTACTTGTTACCATCATGAAGTAGGTACCTAAAGTCGTACTGTATGTAGCTACCTACATGGACCTATTTGCGATGGACCGCGCAAATGGAAAGACAGCATCGACGTGGGTATGCGCATATGCATATGCATCCTTGCATGTCTTCATTGCGCTTTGACTACAGTACCTACGGTAGGTTACCTCAAAGCCTTTTCTGCATAGGAAGGTACTTCTCCAGGCAGCTCTCTTTTTCTTCCTCTCTCCCCCCCCCCTTTTTTGAGTTCACAGCGACCATGGCGCAATAGCTCGCGAAGATGGGAAAGGAAGTTGGAGATGGCATTCTTGCATTGGCCAGTGGTCTCGCGACGGATCTAAATTGAAGTTTTAGCGTGGGTGGGAAATGAAAGGCTTGGCATGTATAAAGGAAAATACGGTATCCTTTAACGAGTGCGTGGAGGGAGAAGTCTTGGCATTTCGTAAGGGATGTTTCAGCGACTGGGCCTTACCTTACCTAGTCAGGGGTAATCCGGCTGCACTTTCAGTCTGGATGACTTTGGGGATTATTTGACTTCACCGCTTCTTCCTTGTCCGCCTTGGTGCCTGGTTCTGTTCCTGCGTAAGCACTAAATTCTGCATGATCCCTGAATTTTGAGGGGAAAATCCCTGCCCTTCCGTATGCACAGCCGTTGATCCTCGCCGTAGGAATACTGTACGGTAGAACGATGATTCTATTTTTGATATCCGGTCTAATCAGAATAAAGTACAACCTCATTAAACTAAATTACCAGACATGGATAACCGTACGCTATTGGTTGCACCCGTTCTTCTCAAGCGAGAAATTAGTCAGACTTTTGGTTATGGGGGAGAAAAAAAAGGGAGAAGAAAGGGAGCAAAGCAATACGAGGCTTCATCACACAGCCCGTGTTGGCTCACCCGCGTCTCCTATAACAAAGCCCATTCCCCGAATCAAAATCTTTTCCTTCTTTTTCTTCTCATTCTTCTCTTCATCAACAAATCTACAGTCACTCGTTAAGTACTGTTCCAGTCGCTCTCACTATTACTTGTTTCTACTTCTAATACTCTTTTAATTTACCCCCCCCCAGAACTCTCTTCACCTTTCCAATAAAAAACAAACCACCCCACAAAAAATCAAATTTCAACATGCAGTCCGCAATTCTGGTTCTCGCTGCCGCCGCTGGTGTTGCCAATGCCTGGGCTGGAAACTACTCAATGAGCGCTGGCTCTGCCGCCGGTCCTTCCTACACAACCACCACCCTCGTGGACACCACCACCGTCTCCTGCGGTGCCACCGGTACCACCATCACCGGGTCCTCAAAGACCTTCACTCTCACCGCTTTCGAGACCTCCACCATCACCGACTGCGGCTGCACCAAAACCACCGTCATCCCAGCGACGCCATATACCACCACCACCACCGACATCTTCACCTCCACCACCGTTTTCTGCCCCGCCGCGACTACCGCCATATTCGGCAGCAAGACTTACACTGCGTCTGTGGTAAGGGAGCTCGCAACGAGACTGTCTCTTGGATCGCCTACTGACCCATCGCGCAGAATGAGACCCTCACCATCACCGAAGGCTGCCCGTGCACAGAGACCAAGAGCGTGGTCTACACTCCCGGCGTTCCAGTCACCACCACTGGTTTGACCGTCAGCACAACCCTAGTCTCCACCTCGACCGTCGTCTGCCCAAGCTCCACCACTCTGCTGGTGACCGCACCAAGCACCTACGTCAGCGTGTGCCCAAGCCCAACCACCTTCACCGCCGTCGTCAACTCCCTCAGCACAGCCACCCACATTGCGAGCGTGTCCGGCCAGACCATCACCGTGACCCAGTCAGCCTCGGTCGGCACCTACACTGCCACCCCCAGCCAGACGGTGACCGTGTCTGAAGGTCCCTTTTCCAGCAGCACTGTGGTGCCATTCACCACCACCATCACCCCCGCGCCCGCCGCAGCAGAGGCCGGGGCGACCACCACAGCGCCCGCGGCTCCCGCTGGTACTGCCGTTGGCTCCGTCGTCGCACCAAAGCCATCCACCGCTGCGCCCTTCAAGGGTGCGGCCAACAAGCTCTCCGGTGCCGGTGCCGGTGTCGCCGGTCTCCTCGGTCTCGCTGCCTACCTCCTGTGAGCGGTCGACGTCTGCTTTACTTGATGACGGCTGTACGGTTGGCTTTTTTCGGTTCTGGTTTCCTACAGACCTACCTCTGCGTACGCGTTTCGAGGTTCAAAGGGATGATGTAGATGCGCTGGTGTTCCTTTGAAAATTTACTGGACACTTGTTTACGATGTTGCATTTGGCTTGGTTGCCACCGAATGTAGGATAGACCAGGCATTCCAGGCGCAAATATCCATTATATAATTGTCACAAATCCGACAGATCTAAAACCTTCACTTCTTGATCTCGCTGTGCCCACGTGCTCCTACAATCGTACCGAATCAATCATGTCATGTTGATACCTCGGCGATGCATCATCGCGCTGTGAACGCGCACGCCCCTCTAATCTGCCTTGTTCGGCCCGTCTTCGAGACTAATAAACAAACACGAATCCCAACACGCACACTAACAAACGATACTAATCTCCTCAGCCCACCAACATCATCTCCAACGCATTCAAAAATCTCAGTGCACTCTAAGTCATGACCGGCATACGACCGCATAAGGTACATCCATGGGTCTCGGAAACTATAACCACTTTGCTTACTCCACTTCTACTCCCTCATCAAACCGCCGTGCGCACTCTTTGCCGGGTGGGTAGGTTGGCTTACTCTATCATCCCCCCCTGCCGTCACCAACATCGTATCCGTACTCTACTCTACGCACGCGCCGGGGGTTGGATCAGCCTTTTCCCGGAATAGATGGGGGAGTGCGAGTGCGAGTCTTGCAATTGGTGGCTTGGTGTGGTAGGTAGGTAGGTGCGATGGTTGTGCGGTGGTTGGGAGGGTTTGTGATGGGATGGATGGTTGTTTAAGAGTACATTGCATAGGAGGTTTGGAATTGTGGAGAAGAGTAGAGTAGAGTAGAGTAGAGTAGATTTCGTAAATGCCAGTTGTAACTACTGTAGCTGAGGAATGGATTTGGAAGTTTGGGAGGGGGTGGATGGAGGTGTGATGAATGGGTTGGAGGAGTCGGGTTTGGGATGGGGTGGATGGATGGATGATTGTTCTGAAGACTGGAATGTTTCAACGAGTGGAATACCACGGTGAGGCGACGATTCATCGCTCTCGCAAGTTGTGACAGTGCGCAGTGGTTGCGCGCGTTGCTAACTAACTGCCTCGCGAGTGAAGGCAGACATGCTCGTTCGTTGAGCATCGTACCGTATGTACCTTTGTGAGCGCCGAGGAGATGGGTAGGCTTGTCCTTTCCGAGGCTGGCTAGTCATCTCGGATCCGATTGCGGAGTAGGCTTTTTCGCTTCTTATTTGTCGTGTGGGTGATTTCGAAACGCCGCTTGCAGGCTTACCGTTCATTGTATAAGGTACATGTAGATGTTGTGATTGTAGGTGTATTATTGAGCTTTAATGACTTACCGACTGCGTTTTGGAGGGCTGGCGGTGTTTGCTCGTCTGCGTGGCTGATTCATGGATGCTAGTGTTTTCATATTGTTCGTGTTCTGTACATGTATATCTGTACTGACGGAGTTTCGTGTACAGGAGAGGGCAGATGTGTGATGAGGCTGGTGTGTAACGCGGGATTTATGTCTGGCGGATTCTTACTTATCATCGTCGGCTGGTCGGTGTATACTCATTCATTCAATTCGATCCGTGCTGATGATGTGAAAGAGAAAGGGTATTGCTGGTGTGATGCCATGAGGTGTATATGTGGTTAGGCTGAGGTAAGGTGGTTTTCTTTCTTAATCATCGCCCTGTTTTTTGGATAGATGGCGAATGGTTTTTGGTAAAAGACTAGCAGGAGGGTATTGAGATGAGAGGTGAGGAGGAAAAGGGAAGTAGGAAGATATGCGTGTGGCGAGACGGTCTGAGTGCTTTCATGCCACTGTTTGGTTTGATGGACTTACACAGTAACGAGGATGGGATTGGTGGGAGGGAATGTCAAGGGAAGACTTCTGACTTCTCGGGTAGATTTGCAGATGACTCTTTCCCAGCGAGCATCTGGTTAACAAGGAACAAAACTCCCATCGCCTTGACTCCCTCATATTCCAAAATCTCATATAGTCAATGCTACGACCCATCCATGTGCCCTTCCCTTAGACCATCAAGGCTCAATATACGTTCCGTCTGCAGCCGGCATATCGAAAACCGTCCCCATCCTAATCTCCACAACCTCATTGTCGCTCCCATCGGTCACCCACGCCCTAAAGAACCCCGTCCATCCCTTCATCGCCGCATCCAGCAACCACAGACTCGCCGCCTGCACAAATTCCCGACTCACCACCTTATCCTGCCCCTGCACCACCAACTCCAGCGCCAGCGCCCCAAACGTGAAACGCTGGTGGCGGCGACCGGGCGAAGGGTCCGTGGCGGATTGGGCCGCGGCGTTTTTGAAAAAGCGGATGAAGGTTGCGGTGGCGGGGAGTTTGGGACAGATGGAGACGAAGGTGGTGAAGATGCCGGTATAGCCATTGGGGAGCTTCTCGATTCTGAAGGAGGAATCTCGTTTTTGAGGAGATTGATGTGGTGTTGTACGTGAGGGGAGAGGATTCTCGTGAGCTTGGCTGGGGGTGAGACCATTCATTGGGTGTGGGACGGCAATGGCGATTGCAGCGGCTGTGAGGAAGAGGAGAAGCGCCAGTAAGGTCGGGTTCGCGTGGGGTTGCATACTGGGCCTTTCCATCTACACAACAGCACAAGACATAGGAGTTTGGCAAGTCGAATTACAGTTGACGACGAAGATGGGAATGCTAGAGAATCGTGCCTGTTTATGCTTCTGGCGTCTCACGTCAGAAACCGAGTCTCGACTCTCGAACGCGCAATTCATCCCACTTTTTATTTTCCGAGCGCGTGGCGGCAACGATAGACAGTTAGTATTGCGCGACATTCTTGAGCAAATGAGATGATACGGTGAAGGCACGGGGTGTTGATCGAAACGTGCCAATCAATGGGTAAGGTTATCTGAATCGAGATGCTTTTGCCTGGACCTAGTCCGCGAAAGTGACTGCTCTTACTTCAGAAGTTCGGGCGCGACCATTGGCAGGATTCCCTTTCTCTATTGTTTAATGGGTACTTATATATCGCTTGTCTTTTGGGCAATCAGCTGCACACAACCGGCGGATAGGCTGTGGGTTGTACCTACCTGAACAAGTAAGGATGTCGCCACGGAAGGTAGCGTGAGGAAGATGAAGTGACCTCATAAAAAGAAAAAGACCATGTCCGGTCAATCTGTGTGCATCCATTTCTCCCTAGCATCATTGATAAGTGCCCAGAGTCTCTGCTTCTGGTGCTTGTCTCCGAAAATGGCCTCAACTGCTCGGTCACAAAGGTCGATCAGATCGTTTCGGCTTAGATTGAAAGCTTGAGCAATCAGGAGATATTCGTTGCTCAATGTACTATCAAAGACGCCAACATCGTCCGTCTGCATCAAGATAATTAGCCATTAAGCTGGATGATGCATCGAAACACTCACGCATAAAATGACAGGACATCCTGTCTTGACCCAAGATACAAAATGATGGTCTATCACACCGCCTTCGATCAGCTTTGCCTTCACGTTGCACGAGACACAAAGCTCGAGGCCAAGCTTTCTGTCCTCGACCTGATCCTTGATTTCGTTGGGAACATGGATAACATGACCCAGTCTATCTGGTTGGAAAGAGAGCAAGGTACTCAGCTCCAGTAATGAAGATGAAGCAGGGATTTCCGCGAAATGCAGCGAGATCTTCAATCCATACAGCTTGGCCTTATGGAAGGCTTCTTTGAACGTTGAAACATCGCCTTTGCTTGGATCACCGCATAGGTCGACGCCAACAACGCCCCTTGATCGGTACCGGATGGCTAGGTCGACCACTTCGATTGCTTCTTCAGGGGAATTGCGACGATCGACGGAGAGGATAAGGTACGTGGCCATGACATTGAGATCTGGAAAACGGTCAATGCAGGAAAGAGTGGTAGTGATATAGTCGTCTTTGGACATGGAAGAAGAAGAGCGAGGGGTAGTTCGGAGCTCGAGATATACGACGCCATCCTCTTTGAAGTCATGAAGAACGGCGTTGGTAGAGTAAATGATGCTTGCGGGCGTGGAGCATAGCTCGTAGATGTACTTTGAGAACAAGGGAAAGAACGTCATGATATCCCATGATTTGTCTCTTGACATAGCCTCTAATGGGTCCTGCAGTGACATGTTTGGGTCTTCCAACCTTCTTTGGGTCCATATCTGGTGAAGGCAGTGTGGAGTGATACTTCCGGTGAGGTGAGCATGCAGTTCAACTTTCGGAAGGTCCTTGGTAAAGGCGGCATCCACAACTTTTGCCATTGCTTCGACGCGGATTTGACGGCGAGATGGAAAGGCCAATTACTTAACAGACGCTGTTATTGGCGTTGAATACGAAGAGGTAGTCTATATTCCACTATAGAGTTCAAGCATCAGAAGCAAGTGATGCAAGAACAGACGAGGCTGCTTAATCAGCCTGCACCAAGCTCTCCCCAGTCCCTAGAGCGTCTACATCAGCTAAGCCCGCTCGGGCTAGCCTTCTCTGCTTACTAAGGAATCTTCAGGCACCCTTGGCACCAATGAAAATAAAAAGCACCGCAAATACGAACTAAATACCCCCCAGCAACAACCGAAGGCTGTGAAGTAGGCATATCAATCCGAAGGGGCTTAGCACCTTGGCACGTTCGAGGGACTGAGGCAACAATCATAGAAAGGAAGGTCTCATTGAGTAGCGTTCAACTTTCGTTAGAACATAATACCAAACCCCCCGGTGGTTGTTCAGTAATGATGACGCCAGCGCCTACGAGTACTGTCAGTCGCAAGCAGGCCTTTGCGCTGATACACCGCTCGTCCGGACTCAAACGCTCACGACAGCGTGCGCGTGTGGTCAATGTCCTTTGAAGCTTTTGGAGCTTCGAGGAAATCCAACCATTCGATACTCGGTAGACGCTTGACGCGGATCTCTTCTCAGAACGGGCTTCTACTGTCAAGGATCTTCTTAAAAGGGTTCACAATCTTTGGCCTCCCAATAGGATGGACCGGCATCGAGTCTTCATGACCTTGGTAAGATGGATGAATTAGTGGTGGCCTCAAAGCCTGTTGTTGCAGTAGGTCTGCGCTAAAATGCTCCGGCATCCTGCGCAGCTGCAGGTTAAAAAGTCAATCCCAAATGCTCATATACAAATTCATCGACTTTTGGGGAGATTGTTCCTTCATTGTCTCTCGGCGAAATTGTAAGCAGCTGACCATAGCTTGACTAACAGTCTAGTGCCGTCTTCTCAGCTACGCCATCGGCTGGTGCGTTAGATCTACCGACTCGTTCTCAAGTCTCCCCTTTGCTTGATCGTAATATAAAGTTGCCTTTCGCCTTTCAAGAATTCTGCGGTAAAAAACGTGATCACAATGGCACCATTCAAGTTGCTGCTTCTCTCCATCATACTGCAGCTTGCTGCCACCGATTTGGTACCATTCGATGATTAATTCTATCAAAGAGTGGCTTTGCCGGACGTCAACATATACTTCCGCTATGCTGGAACTGGTCCGCCAATCTTGCTGGTGCATGGATACCCACAACATTCGGTAAGCTCCCCCAGAGTTTTCGATCTCCTCGTTGATGGCCATGGTTCGGCTAATCTAGCAGTGATAGCTTATGTGGCGTACCATCGGGCCAATTCTTGCCCAGAATTACACCGTCATCGCTGTTGATATCCGAGGAATGGGGCAGTCTACGATACCGTCTAGTCACGACTTCCCTTCCGCTACCGCATCTGAAGATCTGAAAGGCGTCCCCGACTTCTTGATCATCAATTAGACCTATCTCGTGGCGCACGACAAGGGGAATGGCCAATCCGCTGCACTTAATGCCAAGTATCGCTCACTGGTAAAGCGTGCTGCCTATACCGAATATGTTCTTCCAGGCTTTGGCTACGAGAGGGTTTTTTCTCCAGAGCTCGGTGTAACCGGCCTGTACCAGAACTGGCAGCTCGCCTTTTTCTCCGTTCCTGATGCTGCACAGTACTTCACTCAAGGCCAGGAAAAGCAGATGCTAGCCTGGTATTTCTGGCATGCGTCATATTCTGGCAACTCGGTAATTTCGCAGGACTACTTAGACAGATATACGCGCGAGATCTCGAAGGCGGGCTATCTGCGGTCTGGGCTTGAGTACTTCAATACCGCCGAGGATGACGCTGTATTTTTCAATTCGACATTCATTAGGCGTCCAACGATTAGAGAATCCGGCTCTAGTACTAGGAGGAGAAGCGGACCTGGCACCCGTGGCGTTGCTGGAGCAGACCTGGGACCCGATCTTGCAGAATCCCAGCTACGACATCGTTCCGAAGGCTGGGCATTGGCTCGGTAGGATACTCGAGATCCGCACTGTGGTACCCGTCACTCCTGGGACAGCGCTGACGGGAACGTAGGAGATGAAAATCCCGAGTGGACTGTAAATAGGGTTCTCAGTTTCTTTGCTGAGGATGAAGGTATTCCATCCGTGGACCTGTCGTACCTCAATAACAAGGTCACCTTAGTTTGAGAGCACGCACGTAGGGTCATGATATACCCCCGAGAATTGAGGTAAGTCAAGAAGAGAAGGCGGGATTGTCTGATTAGAGCCAGATTGACTTGCAGTTGCTGACTTCTCTCTCTCATGGTCCCCACTACATCAAGATATTCTATTTTCACCCAATGCACATAACAGTAGTTGACTAAGATTTCCCGTCTCAGATGCAACAGTCTATTATTTGATCTCTGTGTTTGGGCCCATTTCTTTGCGTATCGCGCGGGTTGACGACTTGGGCAGTGACAAGACGCGAGCGCCATCGACGAACAACAGGCATGGGGCAGCAAAATCTACCCAGGGCTTCTAAGCTCGAACCATTTCCCAATCATTTCCGTTAGTCATACTTGCGTTTGATGTTCACGCCCCCACGCCAAGCGTTTCATGGCTGTCACACTCATACACGATCGTCCCAAAAACGCCGACTGTGCCTCCTCATGTCTACTCATCGAACAGGACCTTCTTTCTCGAGTCGAGTCGGCGCGGCCGAGGCGAAAAAGAGACCTTTTTATTCGCTCATTGTTGAAATATCAGAATTCCAGGTTATGTGGAGGTGCATATCTCTTATTTTCGTAAATGTTTTGAATAAGGGCTGGCTGTGACTTCCATAGAGTTATAAGTCTTAGATCTATGCTCAAACGTCATGTAAATGCTGGGAGAGGGCACAACCAGATCGATTAGTCCACTGCATTTCCGGAAAGTAAACAGTGAAGTCCCACGTACAAATACCGAAAAGTAAAGACAGTCCAACTGAATCGAACGAAATCCGCATTTGTTGCGCGGTCTCCCTTTATAAACTTTAGATGTAGCCCTTTTCCATTTCGTCATCCTTCAGAGTTTGTAACATTTGTTTCAAAAAAATTGAGGATCAAAGCATGCTGTTGCCACATGAACAGGTTAGCTGGCCACGACAGAGACCTCCCATAACCATAAACATCGATACCTCCCCTCCGAGACACAATATGCAAGACAGCAGCCACCCACAGGCCAGAGACATCACGGAGCAAACGAACCCTCTCACTCCGACTCTATCCGTGGAGGATGTCTCTGACGACAGACCAAACTCTCGTGACGACAGTCAAAGTCCGCTTGGAAAAGAACTCGCAAATCCTGCACGTTCGTCCATGATTCTCGCGCACTCACCAAGCCAGCTACTGTCCCGAGATCAGCCTCCGCAAAGCGCGGAAGTAGCAGAACGACAACCATCAGAGGCCCGATCACTGCTAGAAACCCAGCTAATTCTACCGTTAGACCCTCCCCATCCATAGATAGACTCAGTCAGTGCCAAGAGCCCATGCTGAAACTAATGACGAGTCAAATAGTCCTGCAACGGAGAAGGATCCCACATCTCTGACTTTGAAGACCGCAGTGTCCAGGGTAAGTCAGAAAGTCCTACAACGGGAAATGAATGTGATGTTTCTGGCTCTGAAGACCTCAGCATCCGGGAAGAGCTCAATTTGTACCAAATGCTCGACGAGCCTTTGGCTCATGACCATTCTCTGACTGCCACGAAGAAGTCGTAGGTTGTATGGCCTTTGACGAACATCGTTCGGCGCGTCGAGTTTCTCTCGAAACGTTAGAGGCGCAGAGCCAGTTGACTGATCTCTCTATCACTGGCAGGATAGATCTCAGTGCTCAAGTCCTCTAGACCGGAATTGTTTTGCCGACCTAGCGGGTTAGACAGCCTTTTGCCGGTCCCTGGAACGGGTGACTAAATAGCCAATAGGTCACCGCGATTTAAATATAACCAGAGTAGGAGGCACAGGAATACCTTTTTCGTCGCCACGAGCTCTTATTGGTTGCGAACATCAATCGTGTGGTGACAAACGAGGGTGTCAGGTACTTACTACGTAAGAAACTGGGTCCACACATGATAATTTTTGAGAACCTGGATTTAATTGTTACCAACGCTGATGTAATATGCCTCTGTCTATGGTATTAAGACGTACGATCTCAATGGCTGTTCCGTTAGGAAATTGAGATCCTAGAGTACGAGAAGAGTCAGAATTGGACGATTATCGCCAATTCGGCGGAAGCTAAAGCAGCTAAACAAACCCTCCAGAGGGTCAAGGCTCGAAGAAGTGCGCAGTCATCGCGAGCGCGTCGAATTCAAGTATATACCTGTCGTATCAGACAAGTCCGGAGGCGTTGTTGATACCCGCCAGAAACAAATACGTCCGGATATTGGCAAGGAATGCCGATATCAAGGCTAATGTTGAGCAGAAAGTCAAACACCGCAAGCTCTACTGACCTTGCTATGTCTCGTGAAACTCGAGATCATCTACCTTCTGCAGGAAAAATTATCCAATCTTCGTCGAGACCTCAAATACATCCGCGTCTTACTATCTAAAGGCAATCTATTGCCAACTTCTTTTCACGACGATCGAATACTGTTGGTAAATACCTCGGTATGCAGTTACTGCTATGAGACCTATCACTAGTTATGGTATTCCTAATGATGTCTAAGGAAGAAGAATCCTATGTACAGGAACGGCCTTCATATATCAATAACTAGGCCGAATGAGTATTAGCGTAAGCGAGTGTTGAGTTACCGACATTGGTATTTACCAACGAATACAATGCCTCAAGGAGTCATGTAAAATCCACGATCGTCACTACCATGTGACCCACATATCGGGCCTGCACGAACGAGGTTCGAACCGAATTGAAAGCACGGACGCATTGCATCAGGGTTTCTGCATGGGATGGCAGGATATTATCCAATTCGTCTATGGTAGTGTCAACACGAAAAACAAATCATCCGATCGAAGAAAGCTTTAACAATATCAGTAATCTCCTAACTGAAACTTCTGCAGAGAAACCCGCCAAGGTGAAACAGTCAAAGGCGAAAGGGCACAAGAGCAATTGAGAAACCATGCGGAAGGCTTGCAAAGCATCCAAGCGACCATTGCGACCGCAAGGGAAGATTCGCAGAATTTGCGAGGTCAGGCTGAAATTGCCAGGACTCTGGCGAGGAGTTCAAACGCAAGTGAATGATTGAACTCCATCGTCTTTTGTGGGTTCCTATGGGGGCTTTCGGTAACATAGCTGATAGGTGTTAGGTGATTTGGCTCAGCGTCTTGCACATCCGGTGTTGGGTTATGTGCTAAAGGACGCGAGCTTGGCGGCGTCATGCATGCGAACAGACTTAATGCAGTAAGCAATGTTGACGCCGAAGCTTATTAGGCGCACGTTGCGTCCAGGTGCTTGGGTGCTGGAGATTCTCATCTATCATACCTTTGGGCAGTGCTATGGCAAAGCAACCAACATTTATTTACGGGTAGCCTGCAGTCCCCCTTAGACAAAGCTGCGTAAAATCGACGATGTTGAAGCTAATACTTCAAGAGATTCCTCGGTAGTGTCTGCAGAGTATGTGCTATCTGCGGATTCTATCCTCTTCTTCAACCAACGCTTCAATCCATGATAGTCCGTTCCTTTCCATGAGTTCATCAGTCTCAGTATCTGGTAATTCAACTCTATCCATATTTGGCACTTCGTATATCTCGATACCTAGTAGTTCAGTGTCCTCTGTGCCAGACAACTCATCCTCTTCAAGCCTCTGTAGCTCAGCCGAGAAACTCGAGTTGGTGCCAGAAAGGAAAGGTGATCCGCAAGCAAGCCGAACTTGGTCCACCTGCAAGGCTTCTTCTATCTCCATCTTTCCCATGTCAAATCCTTTGAGCCTTCGTGAATCTCTCTTGACACCATTTGACCTCTCCGCCATTGGCGAGATCAAGTATCCCTCGAACTTGCATATACATTCTCTTGTCCGCTGGATAGTTGCGTTCCCCAGGAGATACGAGGTAGCGGTGGAGAGTATAATAGTGAGACTGTTTTGAAGGTGGAGCACTCCTCGGCTTTCTTAAATAAAGTAATACCGGTCGCCGATTCTGTCTGCAGCATCGTGATCATAGCCCTCACTAGAGTAAGGCCATTTGTCTTTATCATAATCTATCCATGCGTTGATGTGGTCATGTGGCAAATTCTTCCTCACTTAGTACATGTAGAGGAAATCAAATGTTTCGATGCCATCTACTTTATCACGTTGACTCAGAGTGATTCTCTTGCCGCCCATTGCAACATTTTTCTGGCTCCACGAAATGAAGACGTTGTTCATGAAGCTTTCGTCTAGTCTACCTCCTAAATCATTCTTCAGCTCTAGGCCGTCGTCGTCTGACTCGGAACTGTCGTCGTCCGGCACTTGGATGTTCCTTCCGAGGTGCGTATTATTTCAGGAAACAAGGTTGTGGACTGAATAATGTACTAGATGATCTTTGTTAGATACGCAATCTCGCAAAGCACATAGTAAATTCAATTCTCAATCGCCTAGATTGGGCTATGACCTTCCAACTATTGGAGCAAGTATTGGGTTCTTACCGACACTGCTACCATCAGCAACTCGGATAATGACTACAAAATCGCTCCACCCTTCTTGTCCGCTGTCTTTGCAAGGCCGACGTCCTATAGCCTCTTTTAGTGAATCAAGCTGCTAGGTTGTCACTCCCTTCCGCTTTGTCACGCTCTTTGTACTCGTTCCCATAGTCTTCGCCCCTCGTTTCCTCTGTTTCCTCTGTTTCAATCCTTTCACCGGCGCTCCCTTCTCTGTTTAATTAATTCGTACCTACTCCCATCTTCTCGCCACTCACTGCTTCTCCTTGACCAATTTCTTCCCCGCCCCCATGTTCCTCCTCGCTTTCATCAGCCGGACGGTCCACTTCATGAAAGCGCGTGTAAAATCTCTGCCTGTTCAGTACATCGTACGTTATCGACACAGGCTCCAAGATATGATGTTGACGGCCCACAGCACTCCAGGGACGGAATTTGATATATGGACCATTGTCCCCATAATGTTCAACTGCGGGACCCAGAATTGGTTCCAGTATGTTTTTCACGAACAGCCTGATCCTGCCCTCGTTGGCGTAAATCATAAGCCGCGGCATCAACTCGACCACCAGAACCCGGAACCCGACAAAGCTTTTCGGCCGCTCAAGGACCTTCGTGATATTGCTCTTGATCTCTGATAAGGAAGACACTATGCCGAAGTTCAATTTGATGAGCAACTTGTTTCGGTAGATGCCACGATGAACGAAATACGACGCAGGCCTGAAGTTAAGAACGGGTTCGATAGTAGTAAATTCTACGTAATAGTCTAGATTGCATCGAAGCTCAAAGTTCTGAGCCAGCAACTGTGACGATGTGTCGTAAAGTCGATTTACCGCAGAGTAGCCAGCTTCTTGGCGGAATATGCCTGCTCGGTAGAACATGGACTGCGCTTCCGTATTGATCCCCCGGCAGGTGCGCAGTAGTGAAAGATCGCCGGCAGAGAAGAGGAGAGCGTAGATCATGTCACGAATTTCGGGCGGTAGTTTGAGTAGGATACCACCTGCTGTGGGTGTTGATGTAATGGATAAGGACGCATTTGTTGGTGCAACATGCCGTGAAGATGATATCAATCTCTGCCGAAGCCTCGAACTGCGTCGTATGGTGAAAAATTTCTCAGTTGCCGGTAGAGCCATTATCACGAGCTGTTGAGCGTTGTGTTCAGACTCGAAGCGTTGGTTGAAGGATATTAATCAAACCTTACGGAAGCAGAGGCGAGTATGGAAAGAAGAATGGAGAAAGAAGATGAAGAACGGGGCCTTTATATTTGGAAGAGAGTTGGTGATGTGTTGAGTGTAGTTCGTTCGAGATTGAGTTGTTGACTTCGACACATTGTTGTTGACGTTTGGGCTTTTCAACACAAGATTTTGATCTCTCACAACGTTAGGGGCACTGTGAACCTTCGTTTTTCATGTAAAGCTATCGCTAATCCTGATACAGCCACCGCCACTTCACTCATTAAGTCATTGACTAACTATCTCTTTCGATGTGGTATCTTGGGAATTTGTGTAATAAGTCCTCACCGCAGATGCTGTGGATGCCACTGTGATGTTTCTTCTGGGCGGCGGATATTCATTGTCCCAGCCAAAGCTCATCATCAACATGCAATCAGTACGTCGATGGTGTACCTTATCAAGTATGTTAATATCATTCCTCAGTCTCCCTAGGCTTTGCGTAAGCAGAAAAAGAAAGCGAGTGCGAAAGCCAAAAGGATGATTACCGGCATTCTATGTTACGTTGTGCTACCGCTGCTCTGCGAGCTGTGAGGAGCGATTCTGGCCCTATGTTAGTCGAAGAATCATAGACTAAAGCCGATATTGAGTAAGAAACGATTCTACTCGCACAGCGAATGACAAGTACAACGTATCTACCTCTAGATATTTCCGGGAAAGAGTTCTGGAGAAACATCTTGGGCTTGAGCCATGCTAACTTGTTTTCTTCATTTCTAACAGAGTATTGATGCCAAAGCCATGAATTTGAGAAAGCCTTGACCACTTCGCGACTCTGCCGGATACCAGCAGCAATTTTGGTATTATTCCCAGACACATAGCCAGTTATACAACAATCCTGAGACTGACCAACTCGAAACCAATAGATGGTGGGTATATAGAACCTTGACCGGAACACCAGCGAGGTGATGCTAATGCGTGCGATATCTTGATAAAATTCTTTAGGGCAGAAAGGGTCAGACTTGCAAATAAGAGACTTACAGATAATTCAAAACGTAAGGGAGCCGATCAAACCATACATTTACACTACTTTCTTCCTGCCTTGAGAGGGTTCCTTCCTTTCGTACGCGAGGCTTGTGCACGTTGATCTTCCAATTCTCGTGTTCGTCTTGCTTTCACTTCATCCGCGGCCGCATTGGCTTCCTTCCTTTCTGCCTATAGCTCACATATCAGCCTATTTGTGTATAAACAACTATGCAACAACAACAAGGCTCACCTCAGCGCGATTGACGCATTTAACACAAGGATCCCGTTTCAGGTGGATCCAGCCTTTACAGTCGGGTTCCGGGCATTGTCGCTGGTGGGTACGGCAACGCCCATGGACAACACAACAGCGGCCCATCCTGACATACATGGGCAAAGTTCTACCGGGACAGTGGTGCGTCGTCCCGGTACCTGGAGGTTGAGGCATTATGTCACTAGGGCTGCTGAATCGGTCTATGTATATAAGAGTACAAGCTGCTGGGTGGGATCATTGGTTTGAGAGGCGCCTGGGACATGGCATCCATGATGATGAGGTAGCGCTTGTATTTGAAGCCGGGAAAAGGGGCGTTGGCTTTGTTCTATCTCTTCACTAGATGAAAGGAACCTCTTTGAAGAACCGGTATACTGTTCGCAGCAGGGTCTCGTTTGCAGTGAGTTGCATTCGGCAAATACAAAAAGGAATAGGAACGGCTGAACGAAATGCAACGAATTACGTTTACATCGAGGCACCCTAGATGGTCACATTGCGTCACCCAATCTTAAGCAGTCACTCGAACGCCCCGTCCTGCCCAACTCCATCCGCAGTCTCGTCTTTTTGAATTTCATTGGTCCTAGAAGATGCCTTGCTGCTCGCATCATCCTTCTTGGGATTCATCATTGACTCATATAGTGCTGCCCACTCTTTCAAGAACCTTTTAGCTTTTTTGGCGGCTTCGCTGTCTGGAAGACCGTGCTGAGCAAAGTGGAAAAGCTCCCTCGCCAGCCGGTACTCGGGTCTATAAGCAAGCCAGGTCCAATCAAACCCCACGACGTCATCGAAAACCTCTTTGAGCTCCTGTTGTTCTGGGGTGGATGGTGTACTGCTCGTCTCGCTTTCCTCTGCATCGTAGTACTTTTGATCGGTCCAGAGCCACGAAGGCGGAGCGCAGGAGACAAATTTGGGAGCAAAGGCGGCGCTGTCCCAGTCGACCATACCCGAGACGGTAAGTGCGCCGTTTGGCAGAACTTGTACCATGACATTGCGGGCTGCAAGATCAAAATGACATAGGCAATTCTGCCCATCGCCCAAGATACCAATCGAATCCATTTGTTTAGTCACTTGCACGAATTGATACTGGTAGTCCCAATAGAGTATTTGTGCGGGGTTATCGAGCAACTCGTGGGCCAACCAACGCCCAAATTGGGTTCCGAACCAATTTAAAGGGGTCTGAGTTGCGGGTTCAGTCTCTTCATCAGGGATATGGTCCGGGATCTTTGTCTTCCAGTCGACGTCATAAGGGGACTTGATGTCGAATGGGCGGACACTGAAGTTCTGGGCTCCGTCATCCGCTGGAGAGGCCTCAACAACACCAGGCGTAGAGTTATCGACATCTTGTAACGCAAGTATGATTTTCCCGACTTCTTGCGCAACTGTACAGCGTTGCTCATGAGTGAGCTCATCCCAAATTGCATGTAGTGAAACTCCTGGCAGCCGGCTTTGTACGACGTAACCACTCTCGAGAGGGTTGTTGGCCGTCGCATCAAAGCTGATGACATCTGCTACTGGAAGGGTAGTATTCTGGCGGACGTAGCGCAGAATAGCAACTTCACGCTCAATGTACCCAAATTCCGCCATCTGTGGCCGTGGAACCCTCAGAACGAGATTTTTTGGTTCAACGGTCCCAGTGTCTTTGACTGTTATCCCAACTATTCGGTTATAAGTGCCGCCAGCCAAGCGCTCAATGATGTATTCCTTGTCGGTTTCGGGAGAGGGAGAGAGAAAGCGGCGCAACTTCTTAAGCCGCACAGCTTCGAAAAAAAGAGTTTTTGCGACGCCGCCCACACGACTTTCAGGAGTTGCTACTCGAGACTCGGCAGGCCAGAGTACATGGCACAACTCTTTGACATGAACTTGATACTGATCGAACGGCTCTTGGCTGTATTCAAGAGTGGAAGTCCGCGAACCAATCGAGATGCTGGAGCTAACCGGGGAGGACTCATTGGCTAGCTGTAACTTTTCTTGAGTATCTCTCTGTGGTTCGGTGGTAGCTTCCTCGCCGCTAGTATCCATGATGCCTGTATTTGCAGGTGGGAATGACTCGTTGGCTGGTTGGAAAACATTTTCAGAATCATTTGGCGGTCTGATCAGAGCTCCATTGCCAGGGGACTGCTTACTGTCTGCAGCTGGTGTTGTTGTCGACTCCATTTTCAAAAATGCGTTGACTTGAATATCTTGTGAAACATACGAATGGACTCTGAAGCTGAAGCTCGCACAGCATGGAAGAAGCTGGTGCAAGCGAAATCTATACCCTTCAACAATGTAACAATTTGGTACCCATTCAACGTCGCACGCATGCGGTTTGGACTAGAAGGCATCTACGCACGAAGATGCATAAGAAAGGGAACTGAAACGTGAGGAATGTATAAAGGAAACAAAGAATGTCTCAGACCGCTAATTTCATCGCTAAGCTGAATGCAGTGGTTGACCCGCTCCTTAGGACAGCTATAGTAATTGATTCAAGATGCGACGAACATCGTAGGGGGAACAAGACTGGTTCTCTTGATAACTTCTCCCTTTACTTTGATGTGTGGAAGACGTGCTACCTGGAGGTTCCGTAGTAAGCAAAGGGACTAACCCGAAGGGGCTTAGAGTAGCCGGCGAAGAAAGAGACTGAGGCAAGTGGAAGGTTACGAGTTTATCATTAGTAATCAGACCTGCTTAGTCAGTCAGCAACGTAACGAAACGGAGACATATCTGAGGCACTGCTCTGGTTAAACCTTACTTTCAGCTGATTTCCTAATCGACCAAGGCCATTCGCCAGTCAGCCAGCTGTATCTGTAGATCGACTTATCCATGAATTCACCTGTGGCAATTCAGCCTCTCACCCTATTATGCTTGGCCTGTACCACAAGGAGCACTACCTTACTCCTTCATAGTATAACAGCCAGCCTGATATGACAAGATCATTAGTCAGTCGGGTAAGTTTCTTGCTGCCGGGAACATTTGATTGAACACGAATACTACTGCACGCGTATGAATATCCCCCCCCCCCCAAACCCCAAAAAAAACCCAAAAAAAAAAAAAATTTTTTTTCCCCCCCCTTTTTTAAAAAAACTTTTTAAAAAATTTTTTTTTTTTTTTAATTTAATTTTTTTTTTTAAAAAAACGGCGTCTCCATAGCGATGTTGATAACGGTAGCAGTATGAATGCGATTCTTCCCGTTCTGCAATCGTCAGCTTGTGTGAGATGATGGCACGGTGCAGCTGCAATAAACTGGGTTGGAGTGATGACGACAAAGAAAGTAGTTTTTTTACAGCGGCACTGGGCCACTTGTAAATGCCCAGATCAGTTACAATCAACCAGCAGCTGTACCAAATGACCTGTCGATCTACGAAGCAGCTGCCGTATGTACAAGTGCGTCATGGAAACTTATAGATAAGCTGACTTTACGCTTACTGCAGAGCGGCACACCCCTTTCTCTGTAAACACAGCTTCTTTTCTTCACAGGCTATTGAGACCATCCCCCCAAGACCGGCTGAATGGAAACTCTGGTCGGTGGCACCCCAAGAATGCAGCTTCCGAATTTGGACTCACTCCGAAATTGTTTTACGTGATGATTATGTTGCTACCTATAAAGCGATCACTTATACACAAGAGCTTCTATCTTCTCGGGAGATCTATTCTACACACACAGGCTTCTGCCCTGATTGAATCTCAAGTTCATTCATGTGTATGCCTATCCGTTTCCGACTCGTGGAGTGCGTTATCAAAGGACACGCGTGGGAATTCTGCAGTGTCCGGGAAGTGCCTTTTGTCCAATCCAGCCTCGAAGCCCGTTCCGTAGTAACACCCTTCGTGTCCAAAGGTTTCAGACGACTAACTCGGATATAGGGGTGTGTCAAGATTTGGAGGTGTACCTCCGAAGAAAGAAGGCGTGCCTCGACGATTTTCGAAAAGAAAGACTTCTTTATTCAGTGGCAAAGTTAGATCTTAGTTCCACTTTTCGGCTCACTTTAGCAAGATCGATGGGTTTTTATGGCTTGGGGCGAGTGGACACAAAGGGTTTTGAGAAAACGCCGGACGAGCCTCTTGCACGTGGAGTGACCATTTGGGGCTACACAGACCTCAGATCCCTTTTCTCCTAACGTAATCAAAATACAAATATATCAAGCCGGCGTAACTATTTATGTGAATATAGATGCACTGATAATGTCCCGCAGCTGATGGGTCCGTGGAGGGAAAGAAGGATTTTACAGCGGAAAGAAAAACTACCCCATCTAAACCGTGACGGAAACATTGCTGAATCGATTCCTTCCGAATGATAGACAAGTCTATGAACCATAGAGAACGAGAATATCATCATCCTCTACGGCATTTCGAATGGTTTGCCGTGCGAGAAAGCCACTAACGCGCCAGGTACATCATTTTCCCGCCATGAGGACGCTAAACTTCGATACAGTATAGGGAGCTTCGGATTTGTCCGGCATGGCCCATCATGCAACCAGGTTAGCAAACATAGTTTAGAGTCGCCACCAGGCTAAATTAGCTGTGATAGGTCTCAGTATGGGATCCGTAGGGTCGGCCCGATAATAGAGCACACGTCTCCAAGACCTAGATCGAGCAACTCGAGACCGAGCAAACCCTAATCACAACATCAGCCATATCCACACTCGCCACGTCCATGAAACCAATCGCCAAGGCCAGTATATCAAAGGAGACACACCTATAAAATTACTTCGCTTTCCCAAACAATTTTTTCCTTCATGGTCCGTCAAAGACATCTCTCCACTCTCTAATCGCTCAGCAGTTACAGTGACATTTCAAGGCTTTTAGCTGTTCCATTGTCTCTTATTAGCCAGCCAAGTCTCTAGCACGGTCGTTGTGCGAAATGCCACAGTGCGTACTCTGCCTCAATAAATGAGCCCGCTCCGTATTTCCGCCTAGAAGTCGATTATCCAAGCCAAGAGCTGAATCATGAACAGTATGATGATCTCGACGCTACACCAGTACTCGAGAGCCCCATCGACACCTACAAAAGTCTGACCTTCAACGCCTTCGTTCTCGCCGGACCATCTACACCCGGCGTAAAGGTTGGCGGCGTCGCCAACCAATCCCCACCAAACGCCGTGCTGACTTCCGTGACTGAGACATTGACAAATGGCACACCTTCCATCGTCGTCGCGAAGTCTTACAAGTCTTGGAGCCTCTGAGATCCAAGCCAACGATGGTCAAGAGATCGCGCTCGCATCATTCACATTTACACCGCCTCCAAACCCAGTCTACTACTGTGCCAATGATCCATGCTATTCTTCCGAGCACCTTCCACCTGCCGCTTTACAATGTCACCATCGTGCAAACCGATACGCTGGTGGCTTCGAAGATAGATAACTTCCACTACGACGTATCGACTTAAAGAGATGTGCCTCTGTGCGTGGATAGCATCGGAGCTTGAGGACTCGGGTGTCTTTGCGGTTTGATGCCAAGACACTCTAGTCCTCCGTCAAGAGCTTTCGCCAGGTCATACTTGACCCTCCTAGAACTCCGGGATCATAGGCACAAGTCTTCTTTAACCCTCGCCAACATTGAAGCTTGTACGCCAGCATCATGAGCTGGCGGTGGGTGGCTGTCGCCGTCGCAAGGTTGACAATGATAGAAACCCAGGAATCTTGGCAAGGACTATGCTTACTTAGTTAGATCGCTTGACTTAATAAAAATGCCAAGTCTTGTACGCACGTGGATACAAGGATAACGTAGCTAGATGCTGACTTGACGAATCTTACTTACAATATGCGTCCTCGTCGCGGGTAAGAAATATCAAATACCCGAGACCGCCTAGTATGCTTGCTTGGCACATGGTATGAATTCTTGACAGGAGCATTGCACAAGCCTTGGCTGACCTCATAAGTACCAACGGCTTCGTAGTAGACAGATTACCAATCTCACACATCACCAAGCCGGGTCTTATACACTATAAGCTACCATCGGTCGGGTCCTTGTGACTATGATGCCAAACTCACCGCGGCCGACACTATTCCACCCCTCCTCCTGGTACTTATGCGCCGCATTTACGATAGTACACAATCCGAAAATGTCATCGACTCGCCCGCGGTGATCCCCATTTTCGGGAAAACGACCGGACGAAAAGGGAATCTCCAACTGAAGTCCAGATATATACCGCAGGAAACATAGACCAGGCTTCCGTTTTTGTCCAGACTTGTCGCACTTGAGGGTCACCACAGTTGATAATATCGTAGGCCGCTTTCAGGATATCTTGTCCTGGTGCTGTTTCTGGGGAGATGATTCAGCCGCCATCCACGGGCCTGCAGCCGAAGTGACAGATCAATCCTGTTGTTGCTGCGTCGGAGACGGGGGTTGGGATATGGGTATTCCCAAAGCGATTCGATAAGAGGTGAGTGTGGATGGTGTTTGCAGGAGCTGCGAGGCAGCGTTTGGCGGAGGCGAGCGACAATTCGCCAATCTTGCCGGCGGAAGGCAATACAAGTGCGCTGGATGTGGCAACGGAGTACAAGACGAGCGTAGTTGATAAAAATAACAGTTTCCATGATCATGACGTGCTATGGTGGCGATGGGAACCTACATTAGCAAAAGATGTGCATGACAACTCCAGCACCAAGGCCGAGAGCAAGGCAATCGTGAAAAGTCGAATGTTGATTGTTCACATCTGTACGCTTGATCGTAGCTAGTCGCCATGATGCGCTCGGGGCTCTCTTATTGGCGCAGTGAATGTTGGAAATCGCACATAGCGGTTGCAATTGCGGTATGAGACACTGCGACAGCGCGGGCTTCTCTGAGATTACTGACAATAGTAGGATGCCACGTACGAGCCTTGCACTAACACTTGAAAGCGTACAACCTATGTTTCAATAAAGGTAGTCAATGAAACAAGTACAACATCCCTAGCGGCGGCAAGCCACTACTGAATTGCAGTATTGCTTCCGACTGCCGTGTTTCTCTGAAGGGTCAGCCATCATACTGAAGGGCTAAGGTGGCGAGAAGCATTGTCACTGTAGTCGCTATGCCTGGAGGTTCTCGACTCGTCAAGGTCTCTTACTTGAGCGGAAGAAAAAGCATCTGTGAAGTTAAAACTGGCAAGCTGGTTGTAAGAGCATAGGTATGGTGGGACACGGTGTGAATCAGGGGGAAGGTGAGGATGGAACACGGAATGACCTCGTTGACTTCGGCGTAGTATTATACTTGACAGGAAAAGATGGATGACAGAGGTTGCAAGATGGTGTAGAATTCTACAATTGAAAAGAAGCAGGGATCATGTACTAAGTTAGTAGGGTGACGGGATGCCGACGATGGACGCGACACGCGCGAAATGAGATGTACGCGCGCATGGTTCGTGCTGTTTCGAAAAAGGCAATGCGATATTTAAACACTACGCGCGACGAGGATGAAAACAGTAGCCACAAAGATAGCGGTGGTGGAAAGATCCCTCAGACATGGGACGTTGATGTAGGAAGTGCTTTCTATTGTTGTCACATGCTAGGTTGGCCATATGGCGCCGGGGCGACGATATTCGGTAGATCCATATTAGTCCGTGTCGAGTTGTTACCAATGGACTGGCCTCCGTACATAGACATATTTTGGGGTTCCGAACCACCACTCAATGTCGTGTTTGCATCGATCTCCAGTAATTCAACGCTACCGAACGACGGCCTAGCCACCCGTGGAAAATCTGTGCATCCTAACCGAATGTCTGCCACACGTTCATCAGCAGGGCCAAAAACATGTGAAATCATACTGATGAGCTATAGAAGGGAATCAAGCCGAACTCATGGAACCAACTCACTGGCAGCATAAAACACAAAGTTCTGCGCGTTGTTCACAGCACTGCTGGCAGCCAACCACATGCAGTTGTTAGCAGTCGAAACATCTGTTACAAGCCCGCTCCTGGCATAGATGTAAGCATGCGCTAGCTCATGCAATATTACCCAGAGCTGGAATTGGACTAGGCGCCCGCCACCGTCTCTGAAGCGATTGAAATGCGGGTCCACAGGTAAGCAAGTAGACTTTGACGACGAGGGAATGGCGGCGTACGTCCAGAAAGCGGGACACAGTACAATGTAATTTTTGAGAAACCTTGTGCCAACGGTAGCGAATGCATGTACTGGGCTTTGGTGACAAGCTGTATATGCGTCCAACTGTCTCCCTCCCTGCCCCCCAGGTTCTAACGACCAGGTAAGTTGTTCGTAAGCTGTGACACATACAAATTGGGGGGTGATTGGTGCTCCAAAGAGTTCAGGGGGGGCATCTTTTAGAGCGTGGGGTCCGGGAGAGGTGGGCGCGCCTGTCGTGATGTTTGAGAGGAGGTCGTACACAATCGGAGCGAAAGCAATATTTTTGAAGAAAGTGGTATACGCGGGGCTGGAAAAAGGTCGGGAAACATCGTCGAGGACCGGTTGGAGTGTAGCAATAAGGGTGTTGATAAGAACGGAGACTGATGGAGTGCGGGTGCCGCAGTTGTATATATGGTAAGGTCCTGTTTGAACATCTTCCAGGGCTGCAATGAACGTCAGTGGTTGGTTACAGGTAGACGGATGAGGAAACGTACGCGCTCTATACTGAGGTCTCGCACATGCTAAGCTCAATAGACTCAGGAACAGCCAGCATCGCTCTATGAACAATTTTTGCATCCTGAGGATGTTGCAGCATGAAATATGCCAAGGTAAATGAGGATGCAGGATCTGGCGAGATGCATAAGTTATTTTCGGCACGTGGAGAGGAATCACTTCGCGTATACATAGACTTTTCGTATGGACAACAACGAAGATGAGGCTGACGCAGCGACGCAATTACGTCGAGGCTGTTACTTTGTGAAACATGTCGCGTATCTGCTGTTAACATCCGAGCCTGAGATTAGCGCGCAAACCCAAAGTACGAAGTACCACTATAGCCGCCCCAGCAAGACTGGCAAATCATAAGGGTAGTAAACCGGACCTTACTCGCTAGACAACAAGGTCCATCTTGATCTACCTTGGCATCTCTGCTTCCTCTTATGTTTCATTCCAAAGCTTCGGTACTCTGAGATGACCTGTCAACGAAATGCCGCTGGCCCTGAATATATTCAACAGGTCAGTCGGATATTCCCATGGCAGGCTTCTACATCTAAGCTTTGAAACAGTCCCTTTCACAATGTCCAGGTCCGACATGACGATAGATTCGAGATTCGGATAATGCTCTGTTTTTTGCGCGGCAATCTCCACGAGCCAGGAGCCGTCTGAAAACATTGTCTCATTGTACCACGGGTTACCGAAGTTGGGTGTATGGAGGCGATCGGCGAAGTGGGAAAGGCCACCTTTCGAACTGAATTCAATCTGCACTTCCGAATTAGTAAGGTTAAGATAAGAGCCCCAAGATCTAACGTACTATGATTTCCTCAATGTTTCTTGGCATGAGAGCCCAGACCCCACTACGGTCCTCGCTTGGCTTTGCCGACTCAAGGAAGAAAGAGCTTGACACGAGACCCCATCGGAGTGCCCTGCAACTTGTGAGGTCTGGGTTTGAGCCGTCATGGCGGGGCCACCCAACGCCATCAACAATAAGCGCAAGATTGACGAATGTCTCTTGGACGGGACGGAGCATGAGTGTCGCGGACCGCGGTGAGAATGTGTCCATCATCTCGTGCTTGTTTCTGTTATTGAAAGGCTGCCGAAACCGTCTCGGCATGACACAATGTAAAGATGTGAGTCGTCGAGGACAGGAGAGCATCGAATCCATGTCTCGCGGGTCTACAGGAGTCCAGCAGATATCGATTTGATCAACACTGGACGCCCACATGGGAGAATCCACATTATCTGTGATCTCGGGATCGCGGACCTCGCGGACTCCATCAACGTTCAAATTCCTGAACACTGGGGAGTTTCAGGAAATGAAAGATCTCAGAAGCCGATATGGTGGGAAGATCAAGCTCGAGGCTGCGCATTTCAGGGAATGGATTCTGGTAAAGGGCTGGTAGACTCCACCCAAACGTATCTGGAGGTGGGCGCAGGGAGACCTCCAACTAGCGTAAGGCCTTGAGCCTGGCGAGAAGACTGTTGAGAGTCTCACAGGTATTGACCGTTTCTTTCATGCCACAGCATAAGGCATGGTCTTGTGGGTGTACTCCGCAATCTCAGGCCACTCAGCACACGCTCTCATGAACATTTGGCAGCGCGCGAAGTCGCCAGTGGACAATTTGAAGTGGATGTCCCGTGGCAACACGATGCGGACCAAGGCACTCAATCGACACGATACAAGGGCTATGCGACAAAGCTGATCTTTGTAATCTGTTAGGTAGCCGAGTACCTGCATCAGAAGCTTCTCTGGTAATTGTAGGAGATGCATCCTGTTATCGACGCCGGTCGCTGCCAATTCCGTGCAGGTATTGGTCGCATGTAAAATTGCCTGATGCGCTGGGGTTTGTCCAACGACAAATTGGCAATCCTCGAAGGGCTCCAGGTAGAGATTGTGTATCAACGGGTGGACGGATACACGGCTGTTGCCCAGAAGCAGGAGGGGTTTTGCTAACCGTTACGACTAGACCAAAAGGTGATCACTAGTAGTCCGTCACTAAACAGTAACTTATACTAGTTGTAGGCTTGAAAGCGTATGACCGCTTTCCCACACATCTGTTGCTTGCACAGAATATGTCTAATTGATAGTGTTAATTAGAAGTTGGTTTACTAGTATCAGTCGGAAGTTATGAATTGCAAATTAAATAAGAATGCTTGGCAAAGCTGATTCAGCTCCGCCTCCGACTTTTTGTTAGCGTCATTCATAGAAAATTGTAGAGAACGTACTTGCCACTCTTGCAATAGCCACTGTCGTCTACTATCTCAATTAGATATTCGTGATATCGAAGCTAGTGGGTATATACGCTTTTTTCTGATGTTTTGCCTCTGACTTAGACGTGTAATAGAGAACGATTTTAAAGGATTTCTAAAGTATACAATCGATGTTAGTGACTGTGATAGATTTGCGGTGAAGCATTTCAAGTAGAGCACTGCAGGCTATATATTTGACGGCGAAATTAAGGCATTTAAACGAGATTTGAAGTATTTGATTATGGAGATAATAGAGTAGTTATAATAAAATACTACGTAATATCAATTAAAATCCTCCACCTTCTCTATAACCTTCTCTTTAACCTAATCGTTCCAGAGCAGTAGCCTCTTTCTACTCCTTCAAGACTACTCTATCAACTATAGCTTTAATCTTTACCTAAGCAATTCGAATTTTCTCTTATTCCTTCTTCTGCTAGGCTGTGATAGCAACAGCATCGCCTTACTTATCCGCGAAAGAGACCCGCTTAGAGAAAGGGCGACGACGAGATCCAGAGGGTACCTGATCATTGATGGCCGTCTTGGCCGTCTAACGAGAATTAACGGTATTCCGAGGCATTACAACACCACCGTATTCGTATTTAGGCTATATAGAAGCTTTAAAAATATGAAGTAGACTGATATAAGAGTGGCAAGTACGTTCTCTACAATTTTCTATGAATGGCGCTAACAAAAAGTCGGAGGCGGAGCTAAATCAGCTTTGCCAAGCATTCTTATTTAATTTGCAATTCATAAAGGTGCTTCCTGCGGGGTCTTTCTTGCTAGCCATAAGAAGTATAGCTTGCTTGGCTGGATCCTTAAGATCCTTCGGATCCTTCCTCCATAGAATCTACATCCTCTTCTACCCACACGGACTGATCCTTGCTACCGGTTCTTTATATCTTGTTTTTTGTTTTCGCTACGCAGTAATCACGGCCCCACTATTCGCTACGCTCATTTAGGAGATTGCGTTTCAAGGAAAAGCCCGAGTAACTGGGTAGGCCTGGAATTGCACATCTGCAATGAGGTACTGCTCCTCCTAACAGCATTTTCTGCTCGTATGATTTCCATTACGAGGGAAAGGACTTCGTGTGTTCGGACGGTAGTAGATACAAGGACAACCACCTTCCTCGTCGGTGCTAGCACTGCCGTACCCCACCTAGGATGAAGTGAGGCTGAAAGCAGGTTTCGACGGCCTCCGGGTTACGCCGTCTACACAACAGCATTACTGTACTATCAGCCTTGGTCGTTGCGCTCTCGGTTTGACCCTGCTATACCAAGACGTCAAGACCGCCCAAGCGCCGCAACGACAACAACGCCGCATCATCGGACCTGTTTATCAAATGCTCAGCTTGCACAACACGCGTCTTTTACGCACGACGATCCGAAGAGTTCTTCGGTAGCAAAGTCCCTAAATATGCAATTTCGTCGCACAGATGGGGGAGAAAGAGGTAAACCTCCAGGATTTCGAGGATGGTAAGGAGCAAGCATGGCCAGGTTTCGTGAAGATTAGAGGTTGTTGCTCACTTGCGGAATCGCGAGGGTTCGACTGGGTCTGTATCGATACTTGTTGCATCGACAAGAAGAGCAGCGCTGAGCTTTTTCGAAGCAATCAATTCGATGTTCCGTTGGTACGTCGAAGCTGGGAAACGCTACGCCTATCTTTTCGACGTGCGAAGGATCCAAGCCTTGGACATCAGGAGAAGTTTCGCGCAGAGCACATGGTTTACTCGTGTATGGACTCTCCAGGAACTTACTGCCCCTTCCAAAGTCATCTTCTTTGATTGCAAGTGGAATTGCATTAGAATGAAAAAGAAATATCGACAGATGTTTCGGCCGTGACAGTATTGGAGTCCAGTGTCTGAAAATATGCACAAAGCGAGCGTGGCCACTGAAATGAGCTGGGTCTCTAGACGACAAACAAGCAGAGTGGAACATATTGCCAATCGCCTTCTACCTTCTCGGCATATTCGATGTCAACATGCCATTACTATATGGCGAAGGGAGAAAAGTATTTCTCAGACATGAGCTCGAGATAGTCAAATAGTCAGATGACGAGTCAATCTTCGCCTGGACTTCGACTTCTGCACAAGGCCATTCTGGTATGCTCGCCCTTTGGCCTGGTTCATTCGCAGACTCAACAAACACCGCGGCTCCTGAATCCAGCTTCTCCAATCACGCCAATCAGATGGGGATCCTGGAAACACCCCATACTCAATGACGAACAAAGGTTTGAAATTTACCGTACCACATTGGGGCTTTCCAACGATCCTACTCAACTGTTGAAGGACCAGTCCGAAGGGTCGTCATGCCACCATGATCAGGCTGCCATTTGACCCTTTATCATTATCGCCTTCGTCAGAGTGTCTGTCATTGGAAGGAGAAGGAGAATTCTTTCGCTTGTTACTAGTACGACGTACGACGGGTCGACATCTTATGTTTCAATTTTGATAACCAGAACGTCAATCCTTCCACCCGTTTAGTCTCTTTGTCTTCGGGTCATTTCTTCTCAGGCGTCGATAAGGGAGCAGGGTCTGATTTTGAGGGAGTGATAGCGCCTTGTTGCTCGTGGGAGCTCGGGCTCTGCCAATCAGACCTCTCCAGCTTAAAGCTGTCCATACGCTTCTCATGACCGTCCAAATCTTGACCTTCTTGTCCCACAGCAAGGTCTTGCCATACCTTCCAAAGGGGCCTGCGCTATTTCTGGGAACTCTTTCTTCATCTGATCTCTCTCCTTCTGTTCTTCATTTTCTCGCAGCTTGGCGAGACTCTTTACGTATTTGGGGACGAGCAAGATGAACGGGATGCCGACACCCAACGTGAAGGCCGCGGTCACAACAACACTGCTGACTATGATAATCCGCACAGTCCATCTTTCTGCTCTCGCAATATTTTGATCGTGACAAAACTCGTTCCGTTTTGCCCTGAACTCTTCAAAGGCTGTCCACTCAAATTTCTGGTCGAGAATCTTCTTTCGGTTGGCAAGTTTTGATAGAAAGAAGTAATTGCGGCTCGGATGACATTTTGAAGCTTCTCAAACTTTGCTCTATGAAAAGGTGTCACCTATAGACCACGCTATGAGTAGATTTGAGCTAGAATCGAGGCAATATTTCTTGGCAACCCCACAAAGCAGACGAGGGGGTCACTCAGCAACACACTATTCGTGGCCCCACTATTCGCTACGCTCATAAGCGAAGGGCGTGGCCACAACTCACACAATTTCTTTCCAATCTCTTGACTTACCACTCATATCCCAGCCATGAACCTCCCTCGTGGCAATCCTCTTCCTCAATCACAGCCATGAAGCTCGTTGACCTGCCCCCTGAGCTCCTGCAGGAGATCCTGCGGCATGCTGTCGTTACAGTGGGCCTTCACCGCGCATTTCGACTGAGACTGGTTAGCAGTAGGTAGCTGATCCACCACACTGGAACATCTAAAAACTGATCTGCGTCCCAGAGTTGATCGACTGTGAAGCTCTGCGAGCCATCTTTGCCACTCACCTCATTCAAGAAAGACGATACCGAAACATCGATCCTATAGGTATCCCCATCGTATCAAAATATTTGGAGTCGAGAAGTCTAGCCGATGCAGCAAAGAACAATGCGTTCACAGCCGAAATTCGGAATACTACGGATGCACTCATGGAAGAGGAGGAAGATGAGTCCTCGGGACTGGTTTGGAGGAAGCACATCCACGCACTGTGCTGTGCAGCCACAAAAACCATGGGCTGCTCTTTGGTGATCGAACACCTGAACGACGGTTTGACAAATAATGTTATGACGGGACAAGGGTCACAAAACGTTTTGGCAGCAGCGGCATATACCGGAAGACTTGCAAGAGTCCAATCTATGATTGAAGAGGGCAGTGACACAAATGCCACAAGCGATTACTTCGGAACACCCTTACAAGCCGCGGCTAGTGGAGGCCATATGGATTCTGTCTTATTGCTTCTCGAGAACGAAGCCGACGCCATGACGTCCTTGGTACCCGCCAGTTCTACGTCTCGCTACTCTTCCGCTTACGAAAATATCGTGACCGCTCTACGAGCCGCATCAACGGCAGGCCATGAGGATATCGTTCGGCTGCTCTCGAATTCGAAATACGAATTCGAAGATTCACACAGGATTTTCCAATTCGCTGCTTGTGACGCTGCGCAAATGGGTCATGCAAGTATAGTGCGCTTCCTACTAGACCGAATCGAAACCGCAAGACGACCACGGTTGCAAGAACTGATACTCTTGACTGTTTCAGAACATGGCCATGAGATCATTGCTCAGTGGATGCTTGACCTTGAGACCAACATTCATGCAGGTCTAGGGAATAGAGACCCGCCGATACAAAGAGCGGTTGCCGGAGGCCACTATAGAATTGTGCAATTACTGCTAGCCGGAGGCGCAAGCCAGGTAGAAGGCAGGCACGGAACGCTGTTGCACCAAGCCGCCTGGAGAGGCTTTGTCAAAGTTGCACAAGTGCTGATCGATCATGGTGCCGACATCGATGCCTGCCGGCCCACTCCAATCGCCGTGGCCGCAAGCTGTGGGCATGTGGACATGGTCCAGTTCTTGATAGAGAAAGGGGCAAACTTGGGTCTAGAGGCGAGCGGCCATATGGCGCTCCGCTGTGCTGCACGGAATGGTCACGAGTCAATCATACGCTTACTCGTTGGGGGCGGCGTTGATGTCGACGGCACTGACGAAGAATTCAATCCATTGCTGAACGCAATCCTTGAAGGGCATGATCAAGTGGCGAAGACGTTGGTGGAACTAGGAGCGGAGAGGAAGGATCCCTCGCAAAACAAATTCGCTAAGGAACATGCGAAGTTCCTCGCCAGAGGTAGTTACGGGAAAGGCCATCGCTTGAAGGCGAAGATTTCTTATGACGAGCATATGCTAGCTTTCCAACGCCTCGACAAATCTCTTTTCCCCTCGGAGTGAGCATCTCCCGCAACCTGTTCGCTAATTCCGACGACATGAAGCTATCATGGCGACTAGGCACGGCGCTATCTAATATTACTCTGATCCAGAACTGGAACAGCTCCAAGACCAATATACACATACCTAGCCATGTCTTCAAGATGCACTTTTGCTGTTACATTGAGTCATAAATAAGTGAAACATGCAGGGGCATTTCCGCGGGCATACTTCGAATGCTTCTTTCTACACAATCCAATCGACTCCAACTTTGTTGTAGTTTCTTCTGTGGTGAAGGACCGTGGAGAATTTCACAGGCGAAACTTTGGCCTGAGTGAAGATTTCTTTTCGCACCTCCAGGGGGGGCGCCCTCAAGTAAGAAGAGAAAGCGAAGACGTCTCCTCCGCGGCTGTTCGGACTCTTGTGGAAATTGTGCTTTTGTTTATTCATTAAGAACGTACTTCGCAACTTGTAAGAAATGGGAATAAGTGTTTGGCGGCACTGCAGTTAATGAATAATGCTTATATCGGATGGCGTGGAGCAGCGCGAGATGTTCTTACTCATCGCGCCCATTATATATTTCCACCAGCATCGCCAATCTGGAGGTTGAGACCTGTAGCAGAATTTGGAATTCGCACTCCATCAGACGTTTTTTCTCATGATGGCAGCCTCGGTTTGGATGCGAAGTGAGAAATGGTCGTATCATCCTTCATGCTAAAATTATCTCAGACGCGTCACCAGCCTCTTCCGTGATCCATCCGACCCTTCTGTTCACTTCCTCCTCTAATGCATGAGACGGCCGACGCACCCATAGTCGATCCCGACCTGACGACTGCAATTCCCCAGTCCAGTTATCCAAGCGTGCAGATTCATCGCCGCAATCCTGAATTCTGTCTTACACCAAGGTGAACACATCGAATGATCGAATCCCTTATCAAACTTCTGAAATTACTGAAACATGAAACACTAATCTTGAATCCCTTATCAACATTCTGAATGGACTGAAACTTGACTTGACAGGAGATTTTCAAAATCATTACCTCCTACATCAGAAAGGCCGTCGGTGGTTTGGGTACAGCGAGAAATCGGCAACCAAGCGCGGACCCTCTGAATAATATTTCCCGAGTAGAGCGAGCAAAGCCGTTATACTGAGAAGCGCTGTTGAAAACCAGTGGGTTGGCGCTACAAAGGGGCCGCGGCGACTACAGGAACAAGCATCAATCAATCCGACTTCAAGTTCGCCCCCCAACCCTCAGACTTTAGTTATTGGCCTTCCTGCTGCTTAGGAAGGCAGACTTCTGTGCCGTTGATCCAGGGGGCAGAGGCCCTCCTTTTCATTCCTCACGTAGGTCACGCTGCCCAAAGCTTGCGCAGTCTGTACTGTGCCTGAACGCATGCAACCACACCTATTCCTGTACGTTATTTTAAGATCTGCATCTCAAGTATAAATGTACGGGCGCCGTACGACTTCTTCTGTTTCAGCAACACTCATCACTCGTTAAGCAATATCATCATGTATATGTCCATCGACTTTCTTTTGCTGATTTCAGCAGTATCTGCGATACCTTACCCAAATCACGATGATGCCAGCAAGCACAAACGCACATTGACACCAGATAACACCTGTGGAGGCAGCAACGGCTACACCTGCAACCCAAATGATTCATACGGAGGTGCTTGTTGCTCTGCGGCTGGATACTGTGGAAATACAGACGCCTACTGTGGCAGCGGCTGCCAATCAACCTTCGGAACCTGCGGCTCACCCACGTCTCCGCAACCCCAAGCATCCTCTTTACCCCAGGTATCCCCTCTACCCCCACCGACCGGCCCAGCAGGCAGTTCGTCACCAGCCACGAAAGAAGGTTGTCTCTGGACAATCGATGGCTCCGGCAGCTTCACCCATATCCTAACCGTCGACTTTTCCAACCTCACCGCCTTACCAACCGACACTCTAGATGTCAGCACCGACCACATCCCCTCCATCCCATACACCCAAACCTACACCATCGAAAATGTAGCGGTCGAAGATGGCACATTGCAGCTCAAGGTACCAGGAGGGCAAACCGCCTCTCCCATCCTCGGCGCCGAGATCTCCACCGCGGAGAAGAACATCCTCTACGGCAGCGTGCGCACAATGATGCAAATCAGCAGCGTCTCCGGGACCGTTTCGGGCGCATTCTTTTACAAGAGCGATAGTCAGGAAGCCGACATCGAGGTCATCACAGGTGGCGCGTATGAAGGCGTTCACTACACGAACCAAGAGGCCAGTCCGACCGCTGACCAGACGACTGTTGCACTCGCCTCTCCTGTGGATCTTACGTCAGAGATGCACGAGTATCGCTTGGATTGGCTGCCGGATCGTACGGACTTCTATCTGGACGGTGTCAAGCAGGCGGACTTGACGGGAAATGTGCCGAGTACGGCGGGCGCATGGCTATGGAACAACTGGAGGCAAGGAAACCCCCCACGCTTAACATTGCGTGTCTGCTTTGCTCTGCGATGCTTGTTTGACGTCGTAGAACCATGCGCTAACGCGATTGATCTTGCAGCAACGGCGATCCTAAGTGGTCCGCCGGACCACCGAGCATGGACAATATTCTCAAGATATCGAAGATCGAAATGTATTACAATACGACGACGAGTACGGGCGCTTGCTGAGAGTATCTATCTAGAGCCACCATGAGTATAAGGTTCAGAATGTAGCATAGGGCGCGGCGTTTAGTAGGATTTCCTGTGTCTGGTGTCTTCTGCTGTACTTGGTTTGCATTGTAATTTTATAGATTGCGTTGGGTTTTTTCCATTCTAGGGTTCCAGAAATAACACATTCCAACTGCGTCAATTTTCAATGAGACTCGATGCTTCGTGCTAGCGAGACACAGAATAGCTAAAAAGGTTATTGATGATATGCAGACAAGGCTCCGACGGCGGTCATGCTACATCGGAGCTCATAGCTTGAGCCATTCTCTCTGTCTTAGCTTGTGTAAGCCTAGGACCGCCTTTTCTTTTCTTCTCGCGGTGAACCAAGTATACTTCGCTAAATAATCTTTATAATCATCGTTCCAGAACTTCTCTGGTACCTCCACTTCGTGATCCGAGGACTAATACCAGACGACGTGACTTACAGTAAGAACACCACCTCACTCCAATCCATTGTTCATCTAGTGATTCTAGAACTCCCACCGAGCTAGCTCGAGCCACAGCTGGAGCAATTTGCCGAGAACAGCTCAGACCAAGGCGGCTGGCCATTATCAGTAACGAGCTCTCCAGTGCTGGCATTAGCCAGCATAGTCATGTCATTTCCAGAGAATGTACATCGGTCGACAGGGAAAACATTTGCAATTCCAAGTTCTGGATGTTGTAAGCCTGATGATCTTCATTGCTTCTGTGTCTCCGCACTGTACCTTCTTGATGCATGTAAAATTGGCTCTTAGATGATCCTCATACGCTGCACGTAGGGAATGCATCGTTGAAGACATCATGGTTGTTGAAGGTGTAGAAAAGAGATACCGCCAGTCTGTACTCGTTCTTGAGCAGGCCTGTTGTTGAAATTGGAGCCTGTAGAGAATTGGGACAACTCTGAATATAAGACCTATAACATGGAACTTGAATACGGATCCTGAGCAATAACGGTCTCGATGTCCATGGTGGTCAGATTCGAGGCCTATCAGCCAAGGCCTTGGGAGCTCGGTGATGGTGCGTAAGAAAAGACAGAGAAGCTAAGTAATCACTGTTGTCGGAGTTTCAGGACCACGAAGGACACTGTATCACAACGCTTTCCCCAGATTTACCACAACATTCGTGTCAAGGAAAAAGCTGAACACATGTTCAGTACGGTGACTAGCTACTCGAATCTCCATTATCTGTCCAGCAGCGTAATATCTCTCAGCAACGAAAAGTCTACCGGTATATGCCGAATATATCTCGTGCTATTGGTCAACGACACAAAAGAAGCATTGCCAGCGATATCCAGCTGGTCCATTGAGGTAACAGGCGTAATCGGCAACCCCTCGCTCATGTGAATATTGAGCAAATCTTCAAAGGGTGAATACGCAGAATATATGTACAGAGCTGCTGAAAACTGTCTGGTTCTTTGGTCTAGTATCGTTACGATTCAGCGATGGGCATGATCTGGTCACGAGGAATAGGGACCACCCAGGTACGAAATGGGAGCTACGTACTGATGAAAGGCACGTATCCGCCACTTGGGGCAACCTGTGGGCGAGGGCTGCCGCATGTGAACAGTATCTGCATTTGGTCTAGAACAGTTCTCCAATTTGCGCTCCAGAGCGCGCTCACTACGGTGTCACTGGGCCGACCGTAGCTCAGGATTGCGAGGCGGCATGTGTCTGAAGACCTGATCGTCAGCGGATGGCAACAGCAATGGCCAAGCAGGAGCGTCGAAAGAAAACCCCAGATGCTGCTAGAAAGGGTCGTGTCAACGTACTGTATCTCCATATTTTCGGTAGTTGATTGATAGGTAGTGGTCGATATCGATTACTGACGGCGGTGAAAGGCGGTACGAGGTACTGAGGCTCAGACCACAACTCGTATCGTCTGGAATCATAATCGTCGACGGGTTTCATGGCGAAGGGCATGGAGTGCCACACGCTCAAGCAATCTCTGTAGTTGGGGATACCGTATATACCGGCATTGCAGACAGGCTGGGACGCTGAGCAGAAGCGGAGTATGAAGACTACGACACAGATGACAGACCTGTAGCGAAGTAGACCAAGCAGCATGGTAAGAGGATCTATTCAAGAGTGGAAGGTGTTGGATTTGGGGTTTGGAATCGAGAGAGGGAGATAGAGAGAGTGTGTGTGTGTGTGATATGATAACTTGAGCCTCAAGTCTATTGTTTCTTCAACCAACCTCCAGCTCCCGCGAAATGAAGTCGTGCATACATTCGATTGTCAAAGTAGATCTCCCGATCTCGATCGACCTCGGACCCGAAAGTCTTGATGCGCTCATGCAGGTACTCTTACGCATTCGCCTGGATTCGCCTAGTGACCCAAATTTTCGAGCCAACAGTCCAACGCAAAGACATAGTAGCTTTTGCTCCTTGTGGGATGAACGGGATGCAGCACAAAGCCGGCAAGACAAATCATGGCGCTTACTTGCCTGACTCTTTTCCGCGTCGCATAGATGTCTGGGCTTACGAGACGAGGATCTTACGTGTCATCGGCCGCGTGGTAACCACACCAAGGAGTTTCAGGACGTAATGATTGGGTTGGAATTCATGCGTTGCTTTTTCGACCATGTAGGATAGAACCTGCGAGTAAGCAGCCTTGGCAGGATAAGATGCTGACGTCTTGCAAAGACAGCACTACAAGAGACTTTGAGCTCCCAAGAGTTCGAAAACAAAATGTCTTGGCTTTCTACTTCATCATCGTCGTTGATATGGCTCCTACTTCATTGTTCAATTCTTGTCCCATTGGTTTCGGCACGTGGCCCATCCTACTTTTGCAGCAGGGACATGTACGATAGTCCAGTCATGCAAGACTGCTCCCAAGCGCTGGCCGCTCTTCCACAGGCAGACCGGTTCTACAGGTATTATATCGAGCAGCAACTCGAGACCGCCCCTCCAGAATCCGACTGGCAAGGCTGGACCGATGAGCGCCCGAGTTCTTTCAGAATGAAATTAGTCCAGATTCCTAAGTTCTGGAGCTACGGTAAGCAAGCTTGTTTGCGGACTCATAGTGCCACTCTCGTTAAGGGTGCATTGCAGTCATGAAGACAACGTACTGAAGATGAATTCCAGGATCGTGCAACCTCGCCCTCCTGAGCTATGTCGAGGGCAATTCCAAGACGGCGCTCTCACTTTCGCGATGGGCAGATATTTACCTCGTGGGATATTCCCTCGTGCAAGCATGCCTCAACCTTCATTCGCAAGGCGGTGCCGGCACGGTTATTGGTAAGCTTTGAGCACAATCTTTGCTTTTTTTTGAGGCTCTTTCAAACTTAGCTCGCATGACGCAGGTACCTATGGCCAACCTGTGCTTACCATGTTCCTCTGGCAGAATGGGGCCATCTTCGAAAATACGATTAACAAGTACACGAGCGCATCATTTTCCGCAGGCATTGATCCTACAACCCCAGCAATATTGAAGGTGTTCGGCCCTGTTGATGGCAGCGTGGACACCTCTAATGGCACGTTACCAGAAGGCATCAATCTCAGTCACCCAGCTTCATTGAGATATCCGAATTTTCTGAACAATATTTCAGGTCTGTCTCACAATACAACCATTGGTACACCACTAACAGACACTTATTGAGACCGCCTGGGAGATGAGCCAAGAAACGGAGGAAGAGAGTAGATCACGCGGCTGGACTCCTGGGAGATGGAGGGTGAATCCTAGATGATATTCAAGAATGCGATCTCCCCACAAGCGACGAGAGTCGGAAGCAGATTTGACTACGGTTAGATCTCATCTTCTGTGATGCTGCTCAGACACAAATGGTATCAGACAAGGATTTCTCCCTGTGAGCACTCACATGTCGCATCTCAGAGCGCAGGACTTCTATTTGTCTCGAAGCTATACCCGTCGGTCTCGTGATCGTCAAACCAGCACTCAGCAGCACGGCACATCGCTTCGGTCTGCTCTTCCGAAACATGCATACTAATCGCTTAATTTCAGACCGTTTTCACCATGCAACTCTCAACGCTGGTTTGTTCTCTCTTCCATCTCCAGATTTCCCGCAGTGAAATACTCGTTGCGCATCTCTGGGTCCGGGTTTTACTTTGATTGCCGACATGCGCTTCCCAATGAGAGTCTCTCTCCGCAGGGAGCACACAACGTTCAGACCTTGAACTTTGAAACACAGATGAGACTGTAGATCTGTACATGTCCTCGATTGGCTGATCTTGGTCCGCTGTAAGTGGGAGCGATGCTGCTGCGGCGCTTCAAACGATGAGACACGCACGTCACATGGTCACAAAAATCACACAGCCACTAGACTAGAGTCTTTGACATCACCCTGGGGCCACAGGTAATGCGCATCCTCGCGAAACCGGTCTCGTGCCCGTCGAGGACAGGGCGGTACTATGCTCGCGCCTCCAAACGTCAGACACTACCTTTGCAAAAAGTGCACGAAGGTTGGGCCCGAGCCTAGAAGCATCGGCAAATGAAGGCTTCGCGCCTTTGAAAAGAGAACGTCTCGAGCCTCCAAAAGAGGTCGAAACGGTGCTTTTGTCCAACCTTCATAGCTTAACGTCGTCTTTGTCATCACCACAGTCTCATTTCATGTCCAGTGTGTATTTCTTGCCACATGAGTACGAACAGTGATGCACTTGCTCCATATGTTAGCCCTCCCAATGCTCCCAATAACTCTCTTGCCTTATCTTGCTGTGGCAAAGCCATTTCCGGACCACGCAATGGTCGTAACCCCAGCCGACACCCAAACACGCCCACGAATTCAGTCTGCAAGACGTGCTCTTGTGTACGGTCTTCCTCCGGACTGGACGGCTGTCTTCCAGACCGTTACCAGCATCCAACCACCCCTCATCAGCCCAGCTTTCATCCAATTCTTCTCCATGGCCGCTAAAGTCGCAGCGGCAGACCCTGTTCCTGGTCGTCGTTTCCAGCGCATATCGTTTGGGGCTTTGGTCTTGGAGTTTATAGCGAATGATGACCAGAACCAGGTAGTTACAAAGGAGTTCGTTGAAGCAGCCTCCCTCTGGCTACTAGATGCTGCCCAGAAAGGATGGACGGGCCTTTTCAAAGCTTGGGTACTCGACAGAGCGGACGGGGATATTGTGTTCATACGATTGACGAGTGTATGGGATGAGATGATGTCCTTAACCTCTTGAGCAATGACGACAGACGACACCCAGCTGAATTTGGTGCGAACATTTCGACTGGATGACCGTAGAGCAGGCACAATTCAGTCGCTACTTTCTCTCACAGCCTTGATGCACTACCTGAAAGAAACCGGACAGTTGAGAAGAAGACCTTCAGACCTGAAAGAATGCAACATTCGTTCTGGAAAAGGACCGACAAAGGCGCTGGCGCCCGTTAGAATTGCTGAGCCTGAGGGTGTTACATTTGGGGTTAGAAAATGATCCACAGAAAGTGGAATGGGTGGAGCAGGCAAAAAGCAGAGTTGGCATCCTTCTAAGGATAGGTGGTGGTTCAATGACCATACAAAACTGTAGTTGTACGCTATTGACAACCAAAAGGGATTCTGAGCAACGAGATCTTGTGAGTTGACGAAAGAATACAAATCTGTATACGAGAATGGATGCTACCGGTATGAAGAACGACGTCTGTACTTGATAAGATCTGGCATGTCAATCTACCAAATTTGGAGCCGGATTCGTCCAATTGCAGTAGCCGTAGATATCAGATAATCTCACGCGCCCCTAGGGCTTCCATGCTGGTGATTCAGTACCTAGACGGGATAATCAGCCGTGGCAAATCGACTTGGGTTGTCACCAGCATCGATGCTGTTGGTCTTTAACATGAACAGGACGACATCAATGATGAATCGGAATTTACGAACTGGTGAACTCAGCTGCCCACTGTACCTCTGTATGATGCTGTGGGCCTGTTCATATTCTGGCTCGATGATAATCGAGACCTGTGCAGTGTAATTGCTGCACAAAATTTTCTATAGCCTTTTGGTCGCTCATCGGCCATTCGAGACGCATAATGTAGTATCCCGGGTGGTTTTTCATCTGGCCACGTAATCTGGGTCGATATGCGATGCGCCAATCGCCACTGCCTTGAGTCTGGCCCAACTTGGGAGTGGATAGCATCCGCTCCTTCCTCCAGGCTTCAACCCAGAGTCGAAGAGCTTTCGTTCCCCCGCCTTGTCCTTTCGTCCCATCTTTCTCAACCATCTTGCTGTCCGGTATATTTTCTGCACCAGCTTTGCCTCCCGTGCCGACGTCCTCGGATCTGCTCATAGAGAACCAATTCTGCTGCTTGTGCCGTGCCGCTAACGCGAGTCCTTGCTCGTGGCTAGAAGCTGCTATCGGTAGCGTGTCTAGGGATAGGCAAGTGAGGGACGCATATATTGCTCCCAGTGTGGTGTGTCGGAGTCAGCTACGCAGGCAGAGTCAGATTTCCCAGCCACTATCGTCGAGTCTCCTGACGACAAATTTCGCCATTATGGTCTAGTCCATGGGATTGCCGAGGTCAAGCAATGCTTGGAAGCAGACGCAAGTCATAGATGAAGATGAAAGTGAAAGAAGGCGGCCTTAATTAAATGCCGACTTGGTTCAAATTTTCCGGCTCGGATGTGGCTCGGAGATCCGAAGCATGCTCGGCTTTAAGCAATCTAAAAATCGCTCGATTTCTCGCCACTCCGTGGAAATTGAAGATCTGCTACCCCTCAAAAGTTCTTGTGTACTTGGCAAGATAGTCTAATGATCATCACGAGCCGGCAGTGTAACTCAACAATGTTCCCTCTAAGTAATGACTGTCAGCAGTCACACAGTCGATCATGTTGGCATCAGCATCAGCATCACCCTCAGCATCAGCCGCAGCATCAGGCAACAGACAACACAATCAAATTTCTTACAAGGGAATACCTAAGAATTGACATGGGCGACGCGTGCAATGCTTGGCCGTTTGGCAGCCAAGAAACTTAAATGTTGAGTGCTGACCGGGTCTTTTGTGCATCGCGTGCTCTGGGTCAACCATCCCAAGACACTGTATTCATAACGCCTGGAACAAGACTCGAGCTCCTATCGCTGATGTCGTTAGATTCACGGCTGCTCTCGCTTCCCTTACATCAATCTGTATTATCATCAATCACCAAATGTCGTCAGGGCAGTATGTGTCGGCCGTATTTGGCCCTGCAAAGCGCAGAGCTGGCTCCCAGAAAGATGAAGAGTCCAGCTTGCCGATGAGTGCTGGGAGAGCCAAAGCCTGTACCGCCTGCAGGCAAGTCAAGGTATCTGTTTTTGGCTTTCACTGCTCGACGTACCTTTTTTCATGACGAGACAACAGTTGAAGTGCGATTCGGCCGAAACCTTTCCAGCTTCTTGTTCTCGATGTACGAGCAAGGGGCTAGGCTGCAGGATGGACATCAACTTCAAACGAGTTCCCACAAGGCAGTAAGTATGCCTCTATGGAGTCAGGCCTGATCCCTCGGTTCCAGAATCTAAATCTAGAAAGAGCTGATGGATGCTCTTAGCAAGCTTGAGGAAGTCACCTCTGAATTGACTAGCCTGAAGGAGGCCTTCAAATCCCAATCGACTCCACGAAATCCCAACCCCAACCAAGTTGGTGGGAGTTTTCCAAATTCGCATTCACCAGAAGCAGGCCTGTTGGGCTTGGAAGCCACACGACCAACTTCCGTCGAGGTTCAGGTACCCTCTTTCTTCGGAATCGAGATCTTTGAGCAGAGCGCGTTTGAGATAGGCGAACAATTTCTGGGAGACATCCGTCTGAGTGGAATGGCTATTGTCCAATTATTTGAGCAGTACTAGCACCACAATCTACCAGCGTCATGGAAAGGACTTACAATCGAACAGTTTCCGCCAACACTACTATCGGCATGGGGTTGTCCTGGATACATCCCCATCGTTGCTTGAACTCCGAAAAGGATCTCCCATCCTATTCTGGGCGATTATCATTACGTCCAGTAGATACCATCCACAATATTCATCTTTATACCGAGCATTGACTCAGGCATACGAGCCACTCCTCGGGTCATGTCTCCTGAAGGCTATCCTCAGCTTATCTACCATGCACGCCATCCTGATTTTTGCTACATGGCCAGTCCCGGTTCAATCACAACCTCAAGATCCAACTTGGAACTATTGTGGATTGATTACCAACGCCGCTAGACTTCTAGGGTTGCACGAGCCGGGCAGGGAGAAAGAATACGGCTTTCCCAGAGCGACGCCAAGAGAAGTGGAGCTTCGATCAAAGACTTGGCTCCAAATATTCCACCGCAACATTACGTGAGTCTCTCTGAACCATACATGCCTTCTCTCCGCTGACCTTCTACAGTTATAGCTCTCGCATGGGTGTGCCTCCAGCGCTTGCTGACGAGCCTACCTTACGCGGGGTTGTTGAGATAGCGTCGGAATTTATGATACAAGACCATTTCCGTATCCAGCTGGAGATACTTCGACAATATGCCAAATTCACGCAAGCCCTGCAACTTCAACCGGATGACGCGGTTCGAGATTCGCTTGTCATGATGGCGTCTGGCGAGCTTCAAACCCTTCGTAACACAAGCGCTGGCAAATGGACAGCGGACACGGAGTTGCAATTCCTGGGAGCAAAGTTGTTCCTCCTCGGCTGGTCATTCCAGGGCCACCTACACGACAACGAGCTCTCCATACCGGTTCCAAGAACAGCCTCAAAGCCGAACGTTACGCAGAAGCTTATTTTCCATGAAGCATTGAGCTCCGCTACCAATTACATACACGCATTCAGTGAACTTCAGAGTCTGAAAACCCCCATGCAACCATCTCCAGGCTCGAGAGCTGACATGCAGCGTTCAACATCCATCAATGACGACATCCCATCCCAGGTTTACTTTCCAAAATACTACTTCTTCACCCTCTACTACGCAGCCCTGACCCTCTACCACTTCCTCGCTACCCTCCCTACCGCCTCGATCCCTGATCAAGACCTCGCCCGCAACCACATCCGCCTCGCACACACCGTACTCATGCGCTGTGCCCTTGGCGCCGAGAGCGAATGGATGCGCCTGGCGCAGAATATTGAAATTGTGGGACAATTCATGAACTCGGGACGTCGACTACCGCCCGAGGCCCAGATAAAGAGCCGGCTTGGCGCGCCGCTGTTTTACGATGGCATGCTCAAGATCGCCGTGCTCAAAAGTGAAAGAGGTAGCAGGTCATGGGCTAGCGATTTGAGTCAGCATCTACCGCATGAAGGACAAGAAACAAAGGCGAAGGAGCAGGAGATAGGTGGGCATGATGAACGTGGTATGCACGATGCTCCAGCGTCCTCCGCGGTCACTGCAGGGTATGGACGAATGGATCCAGGGTCGGGTTCGCAGGGGCAATTTATACCGCATGAGTGGGATGATACGCTCTGGGGATGGGACTTGGCGATGTTGGATGCGGCAGATTGGCAACTGGATTGGAATGGATTGGAAACTTGGCAGCCTTGATGTGTCTAGACGTAGGCATGGAAGACCGATGCCTGGATAGGTGATTATACTTAGCTGACACAGCTTGATGGTGTCAAATTCAGGTATGTGATGTGTAGATTGCATCAACTGGTCTATCTCGGGACTTCCCTGGGCCTGTATTTGTCCCCCATTTCAGTTTAGGTGGTTGTTCCAACAGGTGGCTGGGAGGAGGCTGGGAACCTTATCTTGACAGATGGATCATCAAGGAAAAGCAGTAATTGTGCATCGATATTAGGACTTGTGCAAGTCAGGACAACCTGTCCCTCAGCTCTATGTCGTGGGGAAGCCAAAGAAATCACAAAGAAGCATTGTTATGGAACATCATGTGCTAGAGTAGTGGAAGTTAGCTCTATCAATGCTCGCACTGATCCTACGAGACTTGCTGCGCTTCGAGGAGTGAGATTCGCAAATTGACGCCAAGCTTTCGCCAAGCCTCCATCAAACCTCACTGTCGGTAAGCACTTGAGAGCGATTACATCAGCATGGCTTGTAGAGAGGGTTCAGAAGGACGTGGATAGCAGTCTATACATTGCTGTGTGTCGCAGCTGTCGGTCCAGGATCTCACGAAGCCACCGCACCCCGGCTTGTCGAGGTTGGACATCATCATGGAGGTTTCTGGACCGTTGCAATATCGGGGGAAATGAAATGAGAGTATACTGGGTTTGCTTGGAACCGTCGCGACGGGGCAGTCTTTGATGCGGAAGCGGACAGAATCTCTAGTTTGAGGCCTCTCTGTCGGCAGGGAATGTGCTTGTGGTAGTTCTCGATGAAGCTTTCGCCGCCATCTTATCTCTGATTCAACGTGCTGCCTGCTGGAAAAGAACTCGGCGCCAGCGGGTACAAAATCCGAGACATTCCTCATCGATCTGTCTACACCAAGCCCACTCCAATTCGACGGAGCTTCTGACCATCGCTCCGAGTGTCTACCGCCCCGATATCCTCTGTCGAGAGTTCAGCTTCGTAAGAACAGCCCGCAACAGGAAGGCGGAGCATGGTACTGATGCTTTTTACATGTCAGAGAAAACGAGGATGTTTCTACCCCCGGCCCGTCTCTCCTGTTCTGCGTAGCTTCCCTCGTGTGCTTGCTGGACTTCTGGGAAATCTTGCGGTGATGTAATCAACAGCCGCTAACCTACATGAATCCTGCAATCTTGTTTGGCCATTTCGAGCTTGTATGAGCTCTCGGCGTGTCTAGCACGACAGACAGCAGTCAATGTTGCTTTTGTACTGCTCTCACAGCCAAATCGGCCATGGTGTCATCACAAGTGAAGTTCAGCCCCTTCAGTTCGACTCCTAGTCGTGCCTCGCTATCATATCCACATTAGAAAGCTCTGTGATGGGTACAACAGCGACGAGATCAGCAAAAGATAGTCAAAAGATTGAACCATTCCTAGGCGACGACAAGAAAAGAACCCGCGCTGTTCATTGTCTTCCCCTCACTACCGAAACCTCAACGACATGCGATGAGGCATTGAACACCAAATAAATCGAAGCCTATACACTCGTCCAAATCACTTCATGTTAAAGAACTCTACCACGATGTATTTCCCAGCAGAGATCCTCTCCGCAACCTTGTGTTACCAGCCAAAGGTCGACCTGAAGAAAGCACGCCTCGTTCGCAAGGCCTTCGACGCAGCAGCAATCCCATTTCTCTTCGATGAGATGTTCGTCACTGCCAGATATGTTGATGTGGAGAAAGCCACCTTGCTTGCGTCACGGTTCGGGCCGTTCATTAAGACTCTGATCTTCTGCTCTGAGGAGTTCGAACAGGGCGACGTATCATGGGAAACTTTCTGTCATGGAAAAGAAAACAAAGACCTGGCCACGACCTACTACATCAGTTATTGCAATCGAAAAAAAGAGCAAGAGGACCTCCTGAAAGAGGGAGAACTCTTCGGACACCTCTCTAGTTCCCTGATCGTACTAATTAATCTACAAAAGATTATTTTTACCAACGTCTGTCGTGAACAAGGTTTATGCCGGTGTCACCAAGCCTATGTTGGTGGCTGCTTGCGGACGTTCAGACCCTTCCGGGACGAGGATCATCCACAACTGAAATCTCCGAGACTGGCACCCGATCACGAATGCTTCACGTCCACCAATGGACTAGGAAAGGTGAATTCGAACGACTGCCCGGGATTGTTACGAGCGCTATTCACTTCAGGGAATACTAAGGTCAAAGCAATCGTCACAAGGGGTGGGGATAGTATCTTAGGACTGGTCACCAGCGCTTTCTGTATGACTCCTCGACGGAACTTATGCGGCGCCAAAGTCCTGCCAGATTTGACGAACCTTCATTTGCACCTTGATGTCGAGATCACCAAAGTCCCGTAGATGAGCTCTATACGGAACGGGTAATTGCCCAGACATTATCTGCATGATCAGTTTGGAGTAACTAAAACTTGAGATAATCGGCAACGATGTCCAATCGGAAGAGGACGACGACATACTAACGACCTTCAGAATGATTCTAGGAGGCTGCAAGATGCTTAAAGTTGTCACGTTTGGCTTGAGTTGCTTCGCCATCACGGAAGCAGGGGTGACAATTTCTCTGCAAAACTCACAAAGGATCCGTCCTATGTCAATCCATGATGTCAAGATAGTTTGAGGTTTCTGGAAGAACATATTCAAATCTATCAAAGACGCCTTGCTTCTCGAAACTTTTAAATTGGCCGCTCTCCATGGGCGCGTCACCGAGCTCTTCGAAGCAGGCTTTGACTGTTGGGAGTGCGAAACCAGCCAGTCAGTCGAGAAACTCCTGTTCGGAAATGCTCTAAATCCATTATGTGAAGCAGCGCTGGAGGATGCAGGACCGGAGACGAGAACTTGCAGCGGCTCAATAGTTTAAGTCACGTTGCAAGTAGAAGCCCACAAGGTGTTAATTTCTCATGCGACCCGTATGTGAGGAATGCAAATCCCATGCTATGCAAGGTCAGACTGCATGGTAGGCCGATTTCCAGGGTCTAGAATCTCACTTATTATATGCATGATATCGGTACAGCCCTCTCGCTTCCTCGTATTCTCTTTCAACTCCTTCAATGCCACTTCCGACGAACAAACCTCTGAGAACATTATGGGACACCAAAGAGGGAATTTGGAACATCTTTTTCAACGATGTTCTGGGCCCATTTGCTCTAGCATTATCAGCTGTGTCAATTTTTAACACATATCATCGGAGCAGAACCGATGCCATTGTTGTTCTCTGTGTACATTCCCGATCCTCATTTTTTTGGGTGGATCAATGTGTGATCGAGGAATGCTACGCAAAATCCCTCTCCCTCCAAATTTCCCACTTTCTCTATAAAGACCCAGGCCCGCGCGCCTCCCAAGCACTGTTCTTTACGTCACCGCATCAGACCTTCGTTTCTCGCTCCGAAAAAAAGCCTAGAGCCAACACTTCCTATCAGCCACTCTTTCTTATTACCGTTCAAACACTCCAAACCCGAGACCCGAGATCCCAGACTCAACATCCTCAGCCTCACATCTCCACCATGAAGCTCTCCCTAACAGTCATCCTGGCCATGGTCGCAACCGCATTGGCAGGTCCACTTGCCCAGACGGCCGACACCGCCCCAGCGTTTGAGCCAAAAGTCAACTCCCTCTGTGCGAAGGAAACAAGCAAGTCTTCGCAACCTAGCTGTCCGGACCGCTGCTAATGCATAGTGCGAAGACGTTTGCGTAGTGGACTCGGATTGCTGCGAGAAATTCTGCGTCGACTTGGTCTGCAATGCTGATGGATGAGGCGAACGCTGCTGTTTGATTGTGAGGACTGGATCGCCCGATCATGTTTTCTCCTGGCTAACCGTTGAGCAGAGGTGCGTGTTGTGATCAACAGCGAAGGATGCGACTGTTCTGGTTTGCATTGGCGCTAAGGGGAGAGGAATGTGAGGGTTTATTCACTTTATGCAGCGCAGTTTTAAGGGCAGGCAGGGATTGGGAAATTTCCATCACGGGCGACATCTCAAACAGAGCCAATCCGTTTCGACCTCGAGTGTTTCCCTCGTGGTCCCTCCATAACGCGACTTGATACGGGTCAGCCAAGTAACCACCATCACTGAGTGCATAACACGGTGCGCTCTAGATGCCTTCGGCTTACCAGAAATATATACTGTTCTAGCCCTTCTGTGGATGTGGTTCCTTGCACTTGTCTTCCGTTCGGAGCTTGCTGTTATGAAGGCTGAAACATGCCCAACAAACGGTTTTCTCCGTCGGGGCCTCATCGTCATATGAAGACCCATTCCAATTCGCATCTGCTTATCAACGCTATGATGATCATCACCCTAGCGCCCTTTTCACTCTTTCTCCAGTGATCCGCCAATGATGAGTACCGCATCTCCACGAGGCTGCCTGACTCAAAGATTGGATTTTCATTGTGAGGGTAATGAAGTGGAATGATTTGAGATAGAACCGGGTACCTCGCTGCAAAAAGAGCTGCACCTCAGTCATGCCAAGAAAACCACTCACGTCGGCCCACACTTTTGGACACCATTACTTATGATAAGCCACGTGTCCACACCGAACAAGACAATGTGACAGGTCTGGTTCTATCCAGATTCCTTCGGGAGCGCAAGTGCGAGTCTTGCCGTTGTCTTCTTTCGTTTTGCTGGATGGAGGCATAAAATGCGCTCAGAATGGACATGTTCAAGCTACTTTTAAGAAATTTAAATTAGTAAGTTAAGTAGCTCTTAACGAGCTTTTTTGTTAATTCAGTTCTTAAGTATCGACTCGACAGAATTCTCGTTAATGTAAGGTCTTTATAACACGAATTTTATTTTAGGGCCATGAGACTAGCTGCATATAGGCTAATGCGATTGCGGGGCTGGCAACGTCTTAGTGTCAAGATTTCTGAGTGTTTTGCGCACGACAAAAGCCACTTTTACTGATTACTCTCCGGCGGTTCATCGTACTCAGAGGCATCTAAAGAAGATCCATGTAGTTAGAGGACCGCCAAAATGTCGTCTCAAGCGGTGATCTCGATTGACCTGAAGTCCCTAAAGCTGGTCGCGAGGTACGTTTCCCTGCGCTTCAAACCTTTTATTGCGTATCCCTATGATGTTTCTCAGAAGTCTAATATCCGGACACAGTGGTAAAGTAAGAGAGATATACGAGATCGACAAGTCTACTCTCCTCATGGTCGTCACCGATAGAGTGTCTGCATATGACGAGATCCTCTCTAGTGGAATCCCCGATAAAGGAGCTATCTTGTGTCAGATGTCAGGTACTCCCAAACATCTTCCTAGCCATGCCTTTTTACCCTCAATTTAACCCCGCGCTCCCCCGCGCCCCCCTGTTTGTTAATTACTACCTTTCAAACGTCACTAATCCGAATGCCTGTAGCGTATTGGTTCACTCTTCTCGGCGCCCAGATGCCGAATTTCAAACACCATGTTCTGAGCCTTAAGCCACCGTCCGGCTGCCAAATCGTGTCTCCTTCGGAGAGAGCAACGTTACGAGGTCGATGTATGCAGATCCAGGCCCTAAAGGTGTTTCCTATCGAGGTCATCGTTCGGGGCTACCTTACAGGGTCTGCATGGGATGAGTCAGTCTAGCCACGTCTTCCAATTAAGCTTCTGTCGCAGCTTCCAGTTTCCTAACCTAGTTATTGTTTGCATAGATACAAAAAGTCTTCAACAGTTCACGGTATTCCGCAGCCGGCGGGGCTACAACGCTGTCAGGCGTTGCCGGGGGGTCCGATCTACACAGTAAGTCTACTTCTGGATCGGATTTACTCCTGCGAGTATCTCAAGAGCAGGACCTTCGTATTTCGAGCACTCCTCTGCGGGAAGACTGAGACGACCATTTAACAGCCGTCCACGAAAGCGCCCCCAGGGTTTCACGACGAGAACATTTCGCCCGAGGAGGCAAGAAAGATTGTGGGCGAAAAGTGGGCTGGGGAGATTGAAAATCTTGCCCTCAGTATCTACAAGACAGCTCATTCATTCGCTGTAAGTAACTTTGAGCGCCATAACTTCCCGGCCATGTCTTAGGGCATCGACAAAAAAACACATTCCCCAGAACTCGAATTCATGCTCTTGAGCTCTCCTTTATAGGCAGACCTGACTCCCGTTGTCCAGATGGAGAGGGGCATCATCATCGCCGATACCAAGATGGAAATCGGTGGCTTCTTCTCTTTCCCAATATGCATTGTTATTTTGCTAATGAGATGACATAGCCCTCGACGAGAAGAACGACGAGATAGTTGTAGTAGACGAGCTGTTGTAGGTCTCACATCTCAATATCTCCTCTCCTCTGCGCATAGAATATAGTCTGCGACCGTGGAACTGCTCCTAAAAATGATTCCTACGGGTCGTCTACGTGAAGTGCTGACGTCTGAATGCGACAGAACTCCTGACAGCTCGCGTTTTTGGCCAGCGCCGGTCCGTGTGGGCGAAGAGCAACCAAGCTTCGATAAGCAGCACATTCGTGATTACTTAAAAGCCCACGGTCTGGGGGGAAAGCCCGACGTAAGTCACCCTCATGGGTCCATTACAGCTCCCAGGACAAGGCTATCTTGAGCCTCCAGCAACTTCAGTACACTCCGCTCCTCTCAAGACATACTGACAATTTTTTTTCTCTAGGTAGAACTACCCGAGCACATTGTTACTGAGACGACAAATGCATATAGGGAGGTTTTTAGAAGGTAGGTTACGGTTTTCATCTGGGTCTATCTACCCGCGATGCTAATTACTATCCCGCACCGTAGGCTTACCAGCCAAACCCTTGAACAGGCTATGGAAGCGTTGGGGGATTGACTTATGGCAATCCTCAAGGTACTTGGGGGTCAGGAGGCACCTATCAAATGAAGAGGTCTTCCAAATGAGTAGGAGGGAAGAGCTAGAGAGTAACAAAATGGAATACTTATTGTTACGGCTCTTCTTAGAATTATAGAGCGGGCAGTAGCAAGGGGAACATAGTAATTATTTTATTATACTATAGTCTTTACTTTAGTAGAGGTAAAAGAGATAAAAGACATTTAAATTATATATCTCTATATATTAAATTATTTTCTCTTAATAAGTTATTATTAAAATGAAATGCTTATATTTAATATTATATCTTAAGATATACTTCTATATTATTATTCTATTAGATTTTAATTTATCTAATAAGTAAGTTTTAAATTAATTATCTAATTAAACTTAGATTTTATCTATATAGATTTAACACTTATAATTTAAGTAATATAAATAAAAGAATATTTACTCTTAAATACAATAGGGTCTTTTAATTAATTATCTTTATTTATATATTTTTAATACACTAGACGAAATATAACTATATTAATAATTTGGAAATCGTAAACGGATAGGCTATAGCCGTAGTAGCGGATGATT